ACAAAACAAGAATGACAATTATTTAAAGATCGTGAGATTCAGTTTGGTGTGATGTAGGTTAGAAAAACATTTTCATTGTCGTGCCAACATTTGACCTTTATTGAGATCATGTTCAAAGCCTGGGATTTAAAAAAACATTGTTTAAATTATACAAATACGTATAAGATATTAATATGAATTTACATAATAATGTACACAATATAGAACTTTTGGGTTTAATCAAAATATTAGTACTCACTCAGTGTGTGTATTCTGTGTTGTCGTGCCACTGTTGTGTGTCATGTTGAGAGTGTTAGTGAAATTTTAAGTTTTTGTGATTTTGAAAGAGTGGGGAAGGAGGAAGGAGATCACACCAGTCCGCATCTCACGATCTTTACATAATCATTAATTAATGGTCACTAAATAATATATTGACAATAATATATTCTTTAAAATATTAATTATTTATAATTGAATGATGAAACCATATTACAAAATAAAAGAAGAAACAGAAAAAAGGTAAAAGGAAAAGAAAAAGAAAAGGAAGAGGGAAGAAAAGGAGATGATTCATGTTGTTTTTAAAATCTCAGATTCCATGGTCCGCGAAACAAGCCAGCGAAGAAGCAGAACATAGAGATGCAATTCTGAAGGAGTTTTAGAGGAGTGTTGATGGCTTGTGATATTATCGGTGCATTTGGATAAGGAATGTGGGGAAAATGAATAGATATTGAGGTCATTTATTTGATTTAATTTTAAATGGCTATATTTAAGTTTATAAGTACTTAGAATATTAAAGCTGCTGAAGACGTTAGTATGGGAAGAAATATGATCTCTTGATTTAAGATCATACAGTATCTAATGCAAGAATGACATTTGAAGGCAATGAGCAGATTGATAGTATAAGGAACGTGAAAACAAAGTGCTACAGTAAGGAGAATGAAGGAATTATTAAGGATTTAATAAGGAGAACTCTAGTTTTATGTAGATTGTAAACGCTAAGGCGTTGAAGAGAATGGCGACTTGAGTAAACCTTTGCTTGAATAGAGTTCACATGGTCATGTTGTGTAAACTTGGAGTTAAAAATAACGTGAGATTTTCAACTTTAGGACAAAAATTAATAGGGGAGTTGTTGATATGAGGAGGGGATAGGCAATCTATATTAATAGGTTTATTTAAAATTAATAAGGACTGTGATTTGTTAGGGTTTAAAAGAATGCCATTATTTCTTGACCATTGATTGACTAAATGAAGATTACAGTTAAACAGTTTCAGAGATGTTTCTTGGAGAACATGGAATGTAAAGCTTTCATCGGAATAAAGGTGAAATTGGCAGAATTTAAGAATTAATGGAAGAACATTTAAAGTTAAAGGAAAAAAGTAAAGTTCCAAAAATAGAGCCTTGGTGTACACCAGCTGAAATTGAGAGAGAATTTGAAGCCTTAACTCTCGGAGTTTTGTCAGACAAAAAGGAGGAGATGAGATTAGAAGCAGTAGCGTAAAAACCAAAAAGATGCATCAGTAGAAATTATAAATGAAGGGGTGAGTGTGGAGTTCACTCCTTTTTAAAAAAGATGGTTCCTACTCACATTAAGTTGTTTTGCAACAATCCGGATTTCGAGCCCTTTGGCTCATCGTCAGGTTGAAGGGTTTCCACAAACACGTCTCTCGATATGAATTGCAGAAGTAGAAAATTAGTATAGTAAAAATTACAGTAGTAGAAAATGACTGTTTTTCATTTTAGGTTTACAAAAGTGAAAACATGTTTTAACTAATAAATAATAAGAAATATGAGTAAATATAAAAATAAGGTGTTTTTGATTCAACAAATGATTCAACCACAAATCATGGCTAAAGTGCAAACTGATGACAGAAGCAAATTTTTTCTGTTTTTATTTATCCAATGGCAAGTACTAGAGAGTTCTCGCTAAATACTAAAATAATAATTTAAATTTAAATTTGTTTTATGAATAATTTAAAAAATTCATATAAACTAAGTAGGTACTAAGTAAATTATGATTTATGGAGCCAAATGCATTGGAAAAATCAAGTAGAACAATAATAGTACATTCACTAGTTTTTGTGGTCTGCTTGACCAAATAATATCTTTCAATTAATTAATCTGTATTTAAGGTATTGGTTCAGATAAAAAAGTTGAAAAATGGCAAAAAGGAGGGAAAATTCAAAAGGTGGGGTTAAGATGGGAAGTTAGTGTTCGAGTGGATTGAAGTCACGATAGCTCAAGTGGTAGAGCAGCGGCATATTTAGCCGAAGGTCGTGGGTTTGAATCCCGCTTGTGACACTGACTTTTTTATCTCAACCAATACCTTACAGATTAATTAATAGAAAAATAATAGTACACTTATTATCATCATTGGGAAAGAGGGAGAAACCCCCTCTGTCAAGAATGGCCCCATCTGCTGGTACACTGATGGATCTAGAACACAGAACAAAACAAGAATTTTATTTACAGATATATACACTATAAACAGTGGCTTAGTGGAGTTTCTGTTTAGTAACACTTACCTCCAGCTGGTTAAATTATAACAACATTTTTATTATATATATTTTCTATCAGGGGGGGGCATTACATTAAAAACCCCAGCTGTCATGGCCAAGCTATAGGAGGGCATTCTTTATATTCCTGTGCACGTACCCGTCGTCCAAACAATAATTGCCTATTTGGCAGCAGGTATGTGCTTCGCATTGCTTAAAAAAATTAATAGTTGCATCTCTGATGTATTCCAACACCATCTACACGTTTTTCATTGCGCAGTTCTGATATGTGTGCATATTGGGGCTAGTCTGTCACAAGCCTCAGAAACTTGTTTGACACAACAAAACAGACACAACAACCTGCAAGCATACAGAAGCATTGGCCTGACCACCATCTTGTATAGAAAATTTCTATTGGCAAGCGACAAAGCAGAGGGAAAAGTATACAGATAGCTGCTTTGCCTTTGCTCACTTTATTACTAACACGGGGAGTGAAAGTGAGTTTATGATCCAGTATCACCTCAAGATATTGACCGACTCAGACCAAGAAACAGTTACACCTTCAAATTTGATCTTTTTATAAAGCAATGGTTTACACTGAAACTTATTGTCTCTGTTTGATTGTGATTAATTTTCTTTTTCCAACAATCCAGAAATTTCCTATGCAGCGCATTACATTCTCTAATCTATTTGATATTGTGCCTATTCTACAAGAAGAGGAATGGAGAGCAATATCTTCAGCATAAACAGCCATTTTTACATTCTTAGGGAGAGTTATTTTGTTAAAATATAAAAGGAACAGGATGAGTTCAATGATAGAGCGTTGAAGATCACCAGCAACAATATCTCTCAATTGTCTAGAACACAATAAGGTACGGGGGGGCAGGAATATTCAGACCTGGAATCAAATACTCAGAATGCATGGGAAAATACACCAGTATCTTCCAGGCTGAAGACCACGCAATTGAGAGATGTACCCAGTTCAAATTGAACAAAGGGTATATATATTATGCAGGATGGGCGACCAAGACCTGAGGGGTTAAATGCCTGGGTAGACTCGTACCCCATCCCTAAAAGGTCCGGGACTTGGTCGGCTCACGTGTCCTGCATAAACCTCTTGGACTTGTTCACAAACCCCAAGATTTTGGACCATTTTATCTCGGGGAGTGATTTGGTGATGTCCTCTCCTTCAAAGATTTCAAATCTAGACCTAGCATACCTATCACACTCTGCGAGGTAGTGCCTTGCCGTTTCTTCTTTTATTTCGCAGAAGCGGCAAAAGGGATCTGGTAGGATACCCATTACGAAGAGGGTCTTCTCAGTGGGCAGTGGCCCGTCAGAATACCTATCAGCCTCCTAATTCCCTTCCTTGAGATAGAGATAGTCATTTCGATTCTGCTGGTTTGATCGCCTTAACAAACTCTTTCGATTGCCTGCGTCCGGGGGATAAATTCCACTCCCTAAGGAATTGTTTCATGCCCCAGTTATTGATACTCTTTTTCGCTGTGCTCATAGAGTGAGGTAATACCGGTTGTGGCCCGACAAACGCAGTATTAGAACCTTCTTTGGCTAGGCCATCCGCCTTTTCATTGCCATGGTGTCCTTTATGTCCCGGTATCCAAATAAGGGTCACACCATGAACAAAGGGTACAAAAACAACAACTATCATGTCAGTAACCAACTAGCCTTACTAACGCCAAACATCATTAGCTTAACGACATGAATTGCAAAACTAAACTAAACAGTTTGGGTATGCAAAATAAAGACACCCTCTGCTGGGTCCCAGGACATGTTGGTGTAGAGGGTGACGAGGGGGGGATCGATTGCAAGGACTGCTATATAGGACCGAGCCTTTCTGTGCCATAGGGATGAATACCTATCATACACAAGAGGACAAAATGAAAATGAGGAAACAGTGGAGTTCACTCGTTGGACACACAATCAAAGAACTTTCTGGGAAATTTTATAGGAAAAAAAACGATAGAATGTATCAAAGGAGCAGAAAAAACTTTGAATGATTCTTAACAGGACACTGCAGACTGAATAGGCAACTGAATAAGATTGGTATAATTCAACACGGCACGTGCAGATTCTGCAAAGAAACAGAGGAGACACCCACACACCCGCCTAACTGTGGTGCCACACTTGCCCGCAGGAGGAAGTGTTTTGGGACGTAAAACGTAACCGTAGAACATCAGCCCCTATGACCTGGCTTAGTAATCAAGTTATTTGATAAAATAGGACTGGTATGCTATAAGTACAGAACGGGGACAATAGCTCTTTAAGGGCGCAGTATCAGTATACTATACACGCCGAATGATACATCTAACATCTACCATCAATGCCTAGGCGTATATCATCCGATATTTTGACAAGGGCATATATATTATAGCAATTTTTATTAAATAATTAGAAAAAAATAATTTTTATTTATTTTTCATCTGATAATTACAGTAAAAGGTGTTTTGCTATGGGTAAGAATGAAGGAATATTTTATCACAGATTAGTTCACTTTCTTGGGCGCCAAGTTGGTCTTCTCTAAAGTCTAAACTGACTGCTGGTTTGCAACCTCCCAGCCTCCGACCTCAACCGTTTCTTAACGGTTCGATTCTCTTCTTTGCGGAATCGCATTTCAGTTTTTCATACCGGTGTACGTTAAACCCAGAATATTTTTGCATTTTCAAGTTCGATTTTGGCCGTTTTATCTCCTTGACAGAAGTTCCACTGCTTGGTCCAGGTGTGTAAATTTTTATTTTTATTTTGAGTAAAATTCGCGCGGCAATTCTTGTATGTATATTCCATGGCGACAGTTTTTGGATTTATGTGTGAAATAGAAACCGTCCTTGTTTAGATCATCTACAAAAATAATGTATTTCTTATTGTCTGAATTGTGGTAAGAATATACACAAGTAAATGTGAACTGACTTTCCCTTAGGCGGGATTGCATATAGTTTTGTACAAGTATCTACTTATAAGTATGCAAATTGACTAACATTTGTAAGTACAATGGTCTTACTGGATCATATATATATAGTTTAACTATTGTCTAAATATTGACAATGTACATACATATTAGACCTACCTAAAATTTTTTTTATTACATGTTATATTTAAAATAAAATAGGACGTTATTACAATCTTAATTTATGAAAATTATTTTTAAAACAGTTAGAATTAATACATTAGTTATGGAAAAGTAAATGTGGATCTAATCGACAGCCATAAAGGCACTAATCAACTCCAAATTTGTCTGAAAACTGGCCTAAATTGCCAAATAACTCTGGGAAAGCAGAATAAGATTTAAGTAGGTACTCGGACATGAAGGGAATGAACACACTTCTCTGTGGGTTTGCCCCTTCTCTCAGGTGGTTGGGAGTTATCGTTGCCATGAGCCATTTTTTGGCACTTTGGTTCTCACAGGTTATCAGGACGGCCAGTTTTTCAACATACCCATTCCTGAACTGAGGTCCTTTGGAGTTTTTACAGCTCCAAACCTCAGCATGGATGGTCCTGTCCTGATTGGCTGTTAGCTCTTTGCCTGGGTATTCCTCGAACACCGTGGCGAAGGCTAGCTGCCCTCCTTACCAACCATGATTATTCAGAAATCGTGAGATGCGGTCTGGTGTGATATAAGTTTCAGAAAAACATTTTCTTTATCGTGCCAACGTTTCGATCTTTATTGAGATCATCTTCAGGGCCTGGGATTTACAAATATTGCTTAAATTTAGCAAATACATGTAGGATGCGGAAAAAAGTGAATTTATACAATGCAAAAAAATATTTTTTATATTCAATCAAAGTATTTCTACTCACTCAAAGTGTTTGTTGTGAGTAGAAATACTTTGATTGAATATAAAAAATATTTTTTTGCATTGTATAAATTTACTTTTTTTCACATCCTACATGTATTTGTTAAATTTAAACAATGTTTGTAAATCCCAGGCCCTGAAGATGATCTCAATAAAGATCGAAACGTTGGCACGATAAAGAATATGTTTTTCTGAAACCTACATCACACCGGACCGCATCTCACGATTTCCAAATAATAATCGACTAACGGTCACTAATCACCACACATTTCTCACCAACTATGTTGGCAGGATGGCTTGTTGCACATTTCTTCTCTCAATTTTTTTTTTTTTTTTAATTATACAAAGGAAAAAATAAATTACTTCAGAACAAATGTGTTACAAGAGGAATTGTACGTAGAATCAAATTACACTGATGATAAAAAAATATATTAGCGAAAATTCACCAACTTACAGAGCAACTATATTGTTAAATAAACTATTTTCAAACCTATATACCTGCAAATGTAAATTTAATGTATCTATGGAAAATTAATTAACAAAATGATAAGAAAAATCAATTATAAACTGTTTCAATTTGATTTAATTAATCTAACTTCTTAACTAATTATACAAACACACAAAATAGTAAATTTAAAGTGTACAATAAAATAACAAATTCAAAATTTTGTATTAGATCAAACATTTAAATATATACATAGTTTAATATAATCTTCAGTTATTTTTTTAAATTAACAATTTAACAAAAATTAAGACAAATATATGTATAAGCGTGTCTCTTCTGTTTTGGGCCCAACCCTGAATTCGGAGAACCGAAAACAAGGTCCCAGAGGTTTTTATGATCGGACCTGACTACAATAATTTAATTTATTGATCAGGCACCTTTTTTAAATATGTTCCATTCAAATATTCAAACCAAAATAAANCAGAAAGGGAAATGTTTTTTTGACTGAAAAAATAGCCCTTTCCTAGCCCCTACTCCTTTTACTGTCAGATTTCAGATGTGTGTGGAGGGGCATGGCGATACATTCAAATCAAAACGTGACATATGTACACACCACACAACTCAATCATGCAAAGACCTAGCAAAGCCATCTTCCTTGGTCCAAACTTCAAAAAAAAAGTAACACATTAAAAAATAAAACAAAATATAAATATATCAATATATTGTAGCATTTAAAACATTGTACAAAATGATGGACAATGAATCAATCTTAATCTTAAGACAAAAACAGGCCGACTCTGTATAAAAAAATACCCTATGCAGATTTTTTTTTTGAAAACAGAAAAATAATGTGGAGATGCTTTTCCATTGAAAAAACGTTGTACTTTTTTTAAACTAATAGTACAGTCAATAAACAAGACATAGACTGGGATTGTTGTGATAAATATGAGAAAACTAAACAAAAATAAATAAACAAACTGATATTCATAATTGGATCCACATTTTCTGAACTAATTTATTAATCCTAATTGTTTTAAAAATAATTTTCAGAAGTTTAGCTTGTAGTAAGGTTCTATTTTAAAAATAACTTGTAATAAAAAAATCAGGTAGCTCTAATATTGAAACATGATATTTTAAAGAAAAAAGCGCAATTTCCGCTTACTCTTGTGAGACACTATACAAAATAAGTTATTTTTTCACTGTCCCAATTATGGTAAAAATATAAAGTAATAAAAGTAAAGTAAAATGTGAACTGTATTGTCTTTAAGCAGAGTTGTATTCAGTTTTATATAGCAAATATCTATTGATCAATATGCAAATTGACTAACTTTTGATTTATATTTTGGAAGTTTGTTTCTTTTTAATAAAATTGTTTTGTTACATGGCAAAGTGTGTTGGAAAGATCCACTTTAATTTGTTTTAGATTTACATTTTTTCCTCCCTTTCAATTTTTTTTTTACCTTGATTAATTTCAAAGTTTTTACCCTTTTGGCTAAGTTTCTGGTGGGCCACTCCTCCTGTTTAAATTGTTTTTTGGGGGACTTTGAGGAATCCTCATCATACTCATTTTCTGTAGTTTTTTCATGGTTCTATTTTAACTAAGTAATGACAAATGATCAGGCAGACAAAGATAATCACGTACATAGAAATGTTTCAATAACTAGCAAGCTTTTCTTCTATAACATGCAAAGGAGTTATTATGTACAGTTTTGTTAAAAAATTTTCATGCTATTACCACAATTAAGACATTAAAAGTAACCGTTTATATTATGTTGGTCTAAACGAGGACAAAAACTGACATCAAAATAAATACATAAAAAAATTTTATTTGTTAGAACAAAAGAATTGGAAGAACAAGATGATCTCGTACAATCAATGCATGGCCAAACGCTCATCAACTTTCATTCTGGCCAACAGAGTCCTGCTATATATCTTTAAAGCTGATATTACGTACAAATTTGTTCTGGCTGTACAATTGCTACCACAATTGAGTCAATTAAAAAAAGGTTTTATTTAATCAATTTAAACAAGAACAGTTTAAATTACACATCTAAGATCTGTCCTCAAGGAAAATACATACAATACAAAAACATGTACCATGTTATAGTGGCACAGGGCAATTTTAGTTAATCAAATGCAATTCAGCATTGCGCCTCTTCAGTGAGGAACTCGGGGATGATTGTACCAACTTGTAGTTTTTAATCATTTTTATTTATTTTATTGTATTTTTTTTTTTTCAGGCTGATCTCTACTAATCCCAGTAAAGAGATCTCTTCACAGCTCATGTTGAATTTTTTTATAAACTAACCAGTAATCATCAATAACAAAGATGCCGGCGGGAGAGCCATCCCGAGGAGAGTTTCGGTTGAATTATTCAACAGAAGAGACTATATCAGCTGTCAAATTCAGTCCTTCGTCATCACAGTTTGTTCTTATATCATCTTGGGATGGGTCTGTTTCATTGTATGATGTGCACAGCAATACATCCCGTTTAAAGTATGATCATAACCGAAAACCTGTTTTGGATGCCTGTTTTCAGGTTAGTGCAATTTATAACATTTTAATCACCTAGAATAGGAACTAGAAAGAAAAGTAAGTGATTTTCAAAAATCTATTTCTGGCTTTAATACCAAAGTCTTGAATATATAATATTTATTTCTTAAAAGAATTTTATACAAAATGGATATCCAAATGTTCTGTCATAATTAGGCTTATTAAAAATTAGACTGCTCATATCAAACTCGATAATCACGTACTCTAGTGCTGTTAGCAGCCCAGGGTCAGATCACAGCAGTCCTTCCCAACAAAGTTAGGCCCCAAGGGGCGTTGACAACTAGTCATTCCAGCCCACACATGCCGTTTTTAAACCTTAATCACACTCGCACTCTCACTCATTCTTAACCCTTGAGTCCGTGTGTCTTGTTGATTAAAATATGTTTATGCACTTTATGCACCAACTTATTTTCCCCCTTTTTTTCTTAAAAACCTTGAATTTTATATATTCATTCTTTTTGAAATTTTTAATTATTTGCCCAAATATAAGATTTCCTATGTTATGTGATATTAAATTATTAATATTTTTATTTTAAACTTTGCGCAATGGTGTACAAAGTGTGGCAAGTGGAAATCAACAAAAAACTGATTTGTAGCGAAAGCTGATAAAAACAATGAAAATTGAAAATCCAAATAGTATACTGAAAGTGTACCTGGGCAAATGGACTCTCAAGTACTCCCCACCATTCACCATAAACAAATTTTGCCCACTTGGTGCACCGAGTGAGAATACCATTCACTCATGTATGGTGATTGTGAAGTTGATATTTCTCTGTCACCTCTTACACATCAGCCATCTCACACTACACACTCACATTAATAAGTAAAATCTCCTTATAATCAACTCAAGAAACATTTATTAGTAACAATTTATTTATAATAATAATTATTATAGAAATAATAAGTAAAACTGAGAGCCAGTGGCCACAACAGTAGGTATTGTTGACATGGCGTTTCGTCACTGCAAGGGCTTGTTTAAGCAATACTTACAGATGGGCTTGTTTCTTAAAAAATACTAGAACCCTGTGGTTTGATATGACCTCTGCTCTTGCAAGCCTAAAAAAATCCTACAAAAAGTGAAACATGGGACCCAAAGATTTGCTGTTATGCTTGAGCACATTTCTCACATCAGCAAGTATCTCTACTGGCTCTCAACCATGGAATACATGCCAGACATATGCACTGGCTTTGCTTAAAAGTAACTGGTCTATGGCCTTCTGAGTTGAGTTAGAATGATTCTCTCTTTTATGAAAATAGATTCTTTGGGGGCCACCTATTGACTTTGACTGTGCCCATCTTTCGGCTTATTCTGTGAAAAATAACTATAATTATATTTGTTATGGTAAAATTTTTAAACACAATTGCTTGTCGTTCTCAGAAATATAAAAGGTATTAATAAGCATTTACAACAATTATAATTGTTTTATATATATATTTTTTGTTTTTTAGGATTCAGCTCATTCTTTTAGTGGAGGATTAGATAACACTTTAAAGATGTTTGATTTTAATGCAGGCAAAGGTAATAATAATTCATAATAAAATTTAAAATTAATATAATAGCATTTTACATCTTTGTTTTTATTTAAAGTATTTTATAAAAATTGGGAATTTAGTGTTAATTAATTGTTAATTAAATAATGAATCATAAATATGAATGGATTTTGCAAAGTAATGTTCATATGCATTTTTTGTTGTACAAATTTATATGGAAAGCATTGTTGCATTCAATACCAAATTTGCTAGAATAGAATAATGAAATGTATTCATTTATTTTAATCTTTGTTATTTTGCGGTAAAATGTTAACAATTAAATAAAAACATACATAAACGTAAATTACAAAATACATAAATACAATTAATATTTCATGCAGGAGGGCTTAACGCCCAACTACCTGTGTGGACTGGGATCAACTTGCTCAACAATATTTTTGCAGTCAATAATTAAAAATAAGTAAATACATAGTAATTAACAAAAATCTACCAGAAAGTTCTGTCCATTTTTAGAATAAAACAAAAATAAATTTTTCATGCCGTATATAAACTTTATTGGACAGAAACAAGTGCTAATGAGAGGGTGCTAGGTCTGGGGAGTATGGTGGATGCAACAGAATTTTCCAGCCTATCCCTTTGAGTTTCTGACGAGTCCCCAAAGCAGTATGATGTCTTCCTATTGAACATCGCTGGCTTCTTTTCTTGGAGGGCTGTTTTTACATTATCTAATTGCTGGCAGTACCTCTCTGAATTTAGCTTTTTGTTCGGTTTCAACAGCTCATAATGTATTGGTCCTCAAATGTCCCACCATTTACACAACATTCTCTTATTCAGGCTCAACTTTGGTTTAGAGGTGAAGGGGCAAGTTTTCCGGATTCACAATATGCCCTTTTCCTTATGATGTTTTCATAAGTAATCCGGTAATTCACTTTTCATCCTCAGTTTTTTTCCGTTCCAAGAAGGGTTCAATTTTGTTCCGAGCTATCAGAGATATGCCAATGAAGACTTGAGCATTCAAATTCTTCTCACTTAACTCATGTGGCACCAATCCTAGTTTCTGAATATGGTCTGAATTGGTTTGTTGAGCTGAGTCAAGCTTTTCTGCAATCTACAATGTTGTCAAAAAATGATTTTGCACTAACATGGCCTTCAAAGAATTGTCGATCAAGGATGATCGCCCAGAGCGTGGCTTATCAGAATGGTCAAAATCACCTATTTGAAATTTTTCGAACCATTTTCTCCATGTTCTATCAGAAACTATTCTTCCTTGTTGGAATTCGACAAAATACAGTGGTACAAAATAAAACAGTAGCCATGGGGGTACACAATCGCGTCTCACTGAATACTAACATGAATCATCTTTGTTTAATTCATTTGCTAGGTCAGTATGTATTCATTCAGTGCTACAAACAACAAATTGAAATTTGAAATTTATTGTTATTTTCAAATTTCAACAAACAACAAATGAATATGTACATACTTGTTGAAACTATAACCGGAGCGGACAGATCTTTCCGGTACACCTTATATTATATAAATAATGAATTATTCAGTCAGAAAATTTAGGTTTAAGAGAAATTTTGAAGACATAAAAATACCTGATATGTAAGAAAGGTTGTATTGTAATTGTATATTAAAAAAATGGAAACAAATTATTTTAGTTTTGAAAATTTGGTTTTTGCAAACTCTTACGAAGTACGGATGAAAAACTAAAAATGAAGTACGGATGAAAAACTAAAAATGAAGTACGGATGAAAAAAATATTTGTGTGTCTTTCAATGTGTTTAGCAAATTAGGTTCTTTGAGCTGTAGTTGTATGCAATTATTGTAAAATGCAGAATCTATTTGATTGAATAAGTTTAGTATATGTACATAATAGATATTTTAATTACAGTCGACTCTTGATAACTCGAATCCCAGGGGGAAATTAAAAAATTCGAGTTATTGAGTTATTATTCGAGTTATATTTATCGCTATGTTTTAAAATTGTGGGTAACGTATTAAGCGGTATGCCAAATTTCTTTGGCAACGTTGCTCTTTTTCCTAATGCCTTCATCCAACGCCCTAATAATTTTGAGTTTCTCCTTCACGCAATAATGTTTCACAGACTTTTTTGTACACAAATGAACAAAACCTAAAAAAGAATGAACTGGGGGGGAAAAACTGACCAATAAGCATGAACTGTACTGCGCACTGTGTGGTGTTGGTCTGTTAAGAAAGTAGGGGATGATTGCTCTTCGGGTAAAGAAATGGGGCTGGTTGAGTGGGCTTACAAAGAAAATTTGTCTAATCAAGGTTTTCCTTTTTGAAACGTTCGGCTTATAGACGGTAAGAATGTGGGCAAAACAAAAGCGTGGGGGATTTGCAAAAATTTGAGTTACCAGGGAATTCGAGTTATTTAGGTTTGAATTACCGAGAATCAACTGTATAATATGTACATAGCTTTAATATTCTATTAAAGCAGATCTAATGCAAAGTTGTTTTCAGATACAATTGTTGGGTCTCACAGCAACGCTATAAAAGTGGTAGAATGCTCTGCTGAACACAGTTGTATTTTATCAGGTGGGTGGGATGCACAAGTAAAAATGTGGGATACAAGAAGTGGTCGTTGCATAGGCAGTTTTCTTCAACCAGATAAGGTATATTTCCTAAAATAATAAATATCTACTTTTGGAGTAAAATAAAATTAAAATTCAGGATAATATATTTTATGTGATAGTGTTTTGAGGTGTGTAAGGTAATGAATTTGGATGATCTCAATATCAATCAATCATCTCCGTGATCGGTCTAATAACACCATTTTTTGTTTGTTCATGAAGCATTCTGCCATTTTTCGTTCTTCAATGGTTGGTTGTGTAATTTCAACAGACACAGTCAGGTTGGGTTGGTTCCTTAACCATCCCTAAGCAGTCAGCAAGTATAGGTAGCCCAACAGGCTGATGTTGACATTGTGCTACAAAGGCTGATTCATTTTCAAGTTCATTTGGTTTATCCACGACATTTGTCCTTGATCAACTGTTCCGCTTATTCTGACAGTTGATAAACCTGAGTTTTTCATTTTTATCTTATGTACCTGCTGTTCCATGTGTCACACACAATTAAATTTTGTAACCATGAAACAATCTAATCTAAAACTACTTTTTCTTTAAGCTAATAGTTTTTATTATTATAATTTTTTAATTTATTTTTTTAATTCACTACTTTCGTGGTCCGCTTGACCAATTAATACATGACAATTAATTAGGGTTTTTGGTTGAGATGAAAAAAAGTTAATGGCACGAGAGGGATTCGAACCCATTTTTCATCTCAACTAAAAACCCTAATTAATTGTCATGTATTGATTGGTCAAGCGGACCACGAAAGTAGTGAATTAATGATTTAAAAATAAAGTACACTTCACTAAAGCTCTCCGTCGCCATTTCAATTGTCGTCGAGAATCCAAACCGATTACACGACATTTGAAAAATGGCAAAAGGAGGGAAAACTCATAAGGTGGGGTTAAGATGGGGAGTTGATGTCCGAGTGGATCGAGGTCACGATAGCTCAGGTGGTAGAGCAGCGGCGTATCTAGCCAAAGGTCGTGGGTTCGAATCCCTCTCGTGCCATTAACTTTTTTTCATCTCAACTAAAAACCTTAATTAATTATTTTTTTAGTTTAAAATCTATAGTTTTAATGCTTAAATTGTAATAATAAATTTTTAATGGTAATCATACATTTTTTAGTAATTAATTTCCTAAAACCAATAGGTCTACACTATCGGATTGTGTGGGGAAAAATTTGTCGTAGGAACGGCTGACAGAAAAGTCTATGTATGGGATATGCGTAACATGGGTTATGTGCTTCAGCGTAGGGAATCTAGTTTGAAATATCAGACAAGGTGCATTCGTTGTTTTCCTAATAAACAGGTATATACACTATTTATACATTTGTAATTTATTAATTTTCTAATTTTTCTTCTATATTGAAAGGGTTATGTGTTGAGCAGCATAGAAGGAAGAGTAGCTGTAGAATATCTCGATGCGAGGCCAGAGATTCAAAGAAAAAAATATGCTTTCAAATGCCATAGGATTAAAGAAGGAGGTGTAGAAAAAATATATCCTGTCAACACAATAACGTAATTGCTAAATGAATTATTCTCCTTTTTATTTGTTTCATTACATGTGAAAGATGTGAAATTCATTTTTTTCATTACTTTTGTTCTTTTAAGATTCCACCAAGGTTATAATACATTTGCAACTGGTGGTTCGGATGGTTATGTAAATATTTGGGATGGATTTAACAAGAAAAGATTGTGCCAGTTCCATCGATATCCTACTTCAATAACCTCACTTAGTTTCAGCCAAGATGGTATTCTGTTTATTCTAAATATGGTTACTCATTTCTCTTTAAATTATATCCTTTTAAATTATTTTTGTCTCAATTTCAGGAGGAGTTTTGGCTATTGCTTGCTCGTACATGTATCAAGAAACAGATCCGGACCCAATACCTGAAAGTAGTGTGTACATAAGATATGTGACAGACCAAGAAACTAAACCAAAATGAAATGCTTATTACAATGCCATCATACAGCATTTTCATATCAATGTTATACATTGTTTAACAAAAGTTTCAACCCTAAAACTAGTACTTTATACAAGTGTGGTGAGACAAATAGGGAGAATATTTATTTTTACCTCTATGTTTTCAATAAGCTACAATATTTTTAATTATTATCTATATAAATCACATTTTGTTTTATTACCTTTGGTTTTTATTATACATTGTTTTTGTTTTATGTATAATTATATATATTATGATTATATACATATATCTTCTTTTGAGGCATTCTCACAGCAAATAATTAAAATGTTCACCACAATGGCCATATCGCCATTTCTCTCTGGAAGATATATATTTTAATTGGATTGTTTTTTTATTTGGATTTGTATTGGCTTTTCGTAGTCCACCAGCCATTGCAGCATTTGCTATTTACAGTAAACCACCAGCAGACTCAAAAATCACCCACCCTGGATGTTGCCATCCGGGGGCAGACCTCAGTCTTATCGGGGGGGTTCCTATCAACAGCCAAGTCAATTCAGCATCCAACGCATGCAGTTCTTTTCATTCTTAAATAATTCAATTAGGGTGATGACGTACTCGGTATTCCTCCATCACCCTTTACACATATTATACAACTAACCTAATTGAGGATTGATGGGGTACTCGATGTTCCTCCATCAACCCTCTCACGTCACACATTCACACTAATTAATACATTCACTCTCAACACAACCTTTATACATATTTTACAACTGACCTACTTGAGGGTCAATGGGTGCTCTATATTCCACCATTGACCTTTTTACATCACACATTCATACTAATAAATACATTCACTGTCAACACAAACTGGATATACACAACTATTATTACTACATACAATTCAACAACTCCATTTTCTCCAAAAACCGGGACAGGGGACTCAAATACTTGCCACCTTGCTCAAGCACAATTCTCAGATCGGGTGCCATTCCTGTGTGCTCTCTGTGTAGAGCGAAGGAATTGCACCCTTCAATTAGGTGGGATCGAGTTACCTTTCTCTGCATGCTGGACACATACGTAGGCTTCAAATGTTTATTTTGTTGTTGTAATTATTAAATTTGGCGCTACTAAGTATTGGGATTAAACAGCAAAAAATGGGGAATGCACCATAAGTCTGGTGATGTGGAGCCATATATGATGTCCTGAAACAATGAAAAAAGTGGGCACAAAACAAATTCTAATTATTTACAAAGACTAGTGACTATATAACAAGAACAATGTATACGTGTTGCCCCACAAAAATGATGAAAACCGCACCCAATCTCTCCCACTTTAGCAAATATAAGTACAAAATGTGGCTTTGGAGAGTGCCAACAGACTCCTGAAATACAGGAAAATACACTCAGATCTAAATAGAAACCATCACCAAATTTTGGCGAGAATTAAAGTAAATATGATGGTTTCTGACAAAATGAGAGGAAATCTCAACTTTCCAAGTGATCTTCGAAAGGGAAGCAGCCAAATGTTTAATGAAGGAGCCCTAATATGGATGGTACAGGGTTAAAAGAAATTAATCATACCCTAGCAATACTCCTTTGAGTAATCTTAACAATCTTCAGTCAGGCAATTTGTGTAATGCCTAATTGATCTAGGAAAACAAAACAAGATTACTTTAAAGTGTGTTCCAAGACATAAAAGTATAGAAGGAATGAACAAACAGCTGCCCATCCAGCCAAATATGGGCAACCCTCTCACCGATGGAACCAGTTATGATGCAAGTTAAGATATTTATAAATCTTTTGAAAAGGGAGAGAAAGTAATTCCTCTATCAGCAGGCAGGATTGGAGTAAAATATGCCTAACTATGTATAACAGCTACTACCCTCTTAACTATCATATAAAGAAGATGGGCAAAGCAGAGATAGAAACTTTCCAAATCTGACAGGAGAAACAACACATTTTCCAGTTTTGTGAATTTAACGGAAATTTTCTATTCTTTACTTTAGCTGGGTGTTAATTAATGTCCAGCAAATATTTTTCAATGATGCATCTGTTAAAGGGCAAAGAGTCTACTATTTTGCAACGAAGTATAATTAAGATCCACCAGATGCCCTTTTTAAAAGTACTTTAGACTTGAATCTCAGGTGTCGTGTAGCAACAAACTCTTTAGAGTATTATTGATGAATATTGTATGATGGGTTTTGTTTTGGAGAGTAAAAATAATATGACCGCATTTGCTTCCATTTATCTTAAGGCGCCAAAGGATAGCACAGCTTTGCCATCAGCAAAAGAAGCTAGGAGAGAGGAAGGTGTAGCTGTGATATCTGAGGCCAAGATGACGTGCAAGATTGGTCTGAGCACTCTGCCAGAAGAAACGCTTTTGTAATAGAATTATGTCCTGAGCATATGAAAGTTCATGATAAATTTTAAGATCATCTGAAAAAATAAGAAACTAACAGATGAAATGTAAGAATCAATAAATATGTATAGGAGTTTCTTGGGTTGCTTGTGTCTTGTGAAAAATTCACATTTCTTCCTCACTCTCATCTTATTCTTTATTTAATAATGTCAATTCCTATCCTGGGTTTTCTTTAGTATTGCAGGTTATGTCTTCATTAAGCGGTTGCTTCAAATTCAAAGATGACATGAGTGGCTGTTTCTAATTCCTCATTGCATAGCCTACAAATGAGGTCATTGTTGAATATACACATGTTATGTACACGTTTTCTCAGATGCCAGTGACTAGTATTTGTTCATATCACCCCTGAGAGTTTAGATGCCCAACTAATTGTGAAAAGTTCCAGTTTAAATGTGCGTATGTCAGTGGTGATCAAGGAAGTGGTAGTTTTATGGCACCCAAGCCCTGCAGCTCTTTTAGGTAGAGAGTTTAAACTTCTCTAACTGTAGCAATTAGTTTTCCGGTTTTTGTGAGGGTTCTTTTAACATAAGCTCACAGTGTTTAGCACTTCTCCTTTTGTCTTTTTTGGGTCCATTCTGAGATGGAGGATTCGATGTTTGTTTTTGTCACCTCTAGTGTAGGTTCAGGGCCCATGGTCTTGCCAATTTGTCTGCCTTTTTGTTACCCAAAATTTCTTTGTGTATTGGTACTCAAGATATCAGGTTGGCGCTAGGCTAAAACTTAAATGGAGATATATTAACAGCCAAAGAAGAAACATCCGATGCAAATGGCTCCAAGAGATGATGTGTACAGAATGTTTGAGTTCAACAACTCCAAACAAATTTAACTACCAAAAAAGAATGGGAAAGAGGGAGAAACCCCTCTGTTAAGAATGGCATCACTGGTGAATCTAGAACGCAAGAAAATATGGGGGCAGGAGTCTTCGGACCTGCAACCAAATACTCAGAACCTATGGGTGAATAGACCAGTATCTTCCAGGCTGAAGTCCATGCAATTGACAGATGCACACAGTTTAATCTGAACAGCGGGTACAAAAACAAGAATATAGCTATCATATCAGATAGCCAAGCACCATCAAATGACTAAATTCAAACATCATTAGCTCAAATATAATGCTGAATTACAAAACTAAACTAAACAAATTGGGTGTGCAAGATAAAGTTTCGATTTTTTTAAGCCACAGAAGACCTAAAAACATGCCATTTGAGAGAAAACTCTACACATCGTTTTTCGGCCCAACACAATACTTTCTCCTTCAAAGGGAAAAAATAGCTTGATTTAAAAGTTTCAATACTTTAATTTCAAAAAGGAACATATTTCCAAAATGTTTTTTCGTCATAGTCTACAATGTAAATATTTTTAGTCACCAACATTAACGAATATAAAAAATTAATCACCAACTTAGAGGTTATCACATCGAGAGATCGAATAAGAAGAAATCAGAAAAGCACCAGAAGGACCTGTCTAATCTCGAAAAAAATCATGGTCTGCAATGTAATTTTTAGCACAAAACATAAATGAACAAAAAAACACCCTCACAGCAGTAAGGAGTGAGAGGTAGCTTTCTTTCTTTTGCGGAATCAATTGAGCAGTGCTAAAAATTTGCTACTTAAAATTATAGAATAATTTGAAAACCATGGGTATATATTATTATTTATTTTATACAAAAGTAACATGATAAACATATCGCAATAGGATAAAAAATTAATCAATTGATTTTGTTTCTTATTAACAGCTGGCGTTAAATTAAATTAGATTTGGGCCATTTTTTCCTAGACCACTGAAAATAATGAACATAAAATAATGGTTTACTATTTAACTGCCTAATTTGAAATTTTATTTAAGCTATTTAATTATTTTCTTGTGTTACTTCACTCTACTTTTTGGTAACAACGGAAAACGACGTATGATAGCCACACCATATTTATTTATAATATACACAATTTTAAAGACTTGTTTTAACCGTAATTTTTCTGTTAATTCAAAAGAAATCTTGGCATATTTGTAACAAAAACTTAAGAAACACCTACGGTTTCATTTTATTATAAAAAATTAATTAATTTGATCTTTTAAACAAAAGAAATTAGGTTTGAAAGTACTGTATTTGAGAAAAAATCCTGATTAAAAATGGGATTTTTTCAAATTACAATAACATTTAAAATACTGCTTGGAATTGAGCCAAACTGAGCTTAAAAGTTACAGGAAGAATCCAACTTAAATCGGTACCAAAAATGTGAAAATCCAATAATGAGGAGCGTAGCTAGGAGGGAGTGAAGTTAAACAAGATGTAGATTTAATAGTCGGGGTGTAATATACTGAGCCCTTTAAGAGCTATTGTATCCCCCGTTAAATGCCTAAAGCACACCGGTGAGTCCTATTTCATCAAGGAACTTGATTAATACGTCTGGTTTCAATGGTTGAATCTCTTCTATGGTCACATTGTATATCCCAAAGCAATTCCTCCTGCGGGCAAGTGTAGCACCACAGTTTGTTAGTAGGTGTATTGGTGTCTCCTCTGTCTCTTTGCAGAATCTGCATGTGCCGTCTTGGATTATTCCAATCTTCTTTAAGTGTCCATTTAGTTTGCAGTGTTAATAATCCTGTTAGGATTCGCAGTTTATTCCTGCTTCCTTTGACACATTCTGTAATTTCTTTTCTTCTGAAATTTGTTAGGAGATTCTTAGATTTCCTGTGTCCAATGAATGAATTCCATTGTTCCTTCATTCTCTTTTTTGTCCTTCTGTCTGATGTACTCTTTGATAGTGTGGGGTTGGTATCCTATGCCACAGAAGGGTTCGGGTCCTATCAGCGGTGAAGTTAAACAAACCGAGCTGGTTGTTGTGCGGGAGAAAACGCAAAAATGGCAAAAATTTCGATTGAATTTTTTACTTTCGTCGCCTATAACTCTGTGACCCCCAGTCGACCTCCGGCAGACGGACCCTCCATGCCGTAAATTTACTTTAAGTTATATATTATGTAATATTTATACTTTTCTTTTTTTTACAATAAAAGTATATTATTATTAATTCTGAAATATAAGCCTCTTCACTTAATTAAGGCTAAGCTAAGACATAATACATATAGCACATAACATTTTCACTTGGCTCAAGGAGGGGGGGGGTTAATTCCCCTTTTACATCCCCATTGGTTACGCCACTGCGGACTAGACAAGATTCTTAACAGGACTCTGCAGAGTGAATATTCATCTTTGGTATAATCCAACAAGTCAAGTGCAGATTCTGCAAAGAAGCAGAGGAGACGCCAATTAACAAACTGTGCTGTCTCATTAGCCCGAAGGAGGAAGTTTTTTGGGTTGTACATCGTAACCATAGAAGAAATTTGGACACTGATACCGGGCCTACTAATCAAGTTTTTTGATGAACTAGGACTGGTTTGCTATAAGTACAAAACGGGATTCAATAGCTCTTAAAGGGTCCAGTATACAATACACCCTGAATGATACATCTACATCTTTGTATATTTTATTATGTTTTTATTATTATTATTGCTATGTTTATAAAACTAAATTTATTTCAACGATTTAGTACAACAACATGTAATGAGGCTTAAGGCCGTATTTGTACCTTTAAAATGAATAAATAAATATTTTGACTTGAAAGACTATCGTGATGAATTCAGTGTATTTCAATGACGTCAATATTGTAGAAACGTTGCCGATGGGGTTTCGTAAATGTTTTCAGCGTTCGTCTATCGGCCGAGTTTCTCACCTTCTCGCTTGTCTAAAAGAAAAACAGTCGTCAGTCTCTCTTCGGATGTTGCGTGAGATGTATTCGTTTTTGTTGATTTCAAACTTCAATTTTATTTTCGAGTTCATCGGATGATCTGTTATGGCTGACATCAGGAACAAAGACATACAAAAACTACTCAACTACTTTTCGAGGAACACGTTCAGGGCTAAAGACTCTGATGCTAAGGTGGGATATAAGTATTTTCTCCCGACAGTCGGTATTAACCTTTAAATCCTGAACGCAAGTTCTTTTTCCTTTTTTTAAAAAATCCTTCTACGATTTTGTCCGTATCCGCAGACGGTCTTTCGCGACGATTCGCACACCCTCGGCCGGTCGGATTTCCCGTACCGCTGGAAAGTCAACTGCGCATTTAAATTTATCTCCCGTTTTAAGAAATGCCCGACACCCTCGGCCGTTCCGAATTTTCGGAAACTGTTAAATCGAGATCTCGAGGCGTTTTCCGTGGCCCACACGAGTTCGATAATAACAAATCCACGTTGCCGCAGATTAGATTTATCTTCCTGATAACGTGCAAGAGGCTACCGTTTTCCACTTTTACCCTACCAATCAAGCACGCGAGCTTCGCCCTAAAAAAAAAAAAAAATAGCTTAAGCGGCTCAGGTCAAAAAGTCCTAAGTTCGACTTTCTTCACATTCTACGTGGTATTCGGTATGCAGACGGAATGCGTCTGTGCGTCCATACGAGGCGTCGTGCACCTGCGTACATTCCCCGGCTGTTATAGGTCATTTTTCGCCAACAATAAAGGGTTGAAAGTATTGTTAAAAAAGTTTTAGTTTTTTGTATTTTACAATATAAAATAACGCTTAATACAAATGTCACTCTGTTATCCGTATGTAGCAGGAACCTTCCCAGGGTTTTGACTGATTCTTATCCAGTTGAGGGCACGGTCTTGCTGATAATAATAGATCAAATTTAATATCTCACGTTTAATCACAAATTAACAAACGTGTGAATTATGTCTATTATCAATTAATAACAATGATAATTAAAAAAAGGGAGGAGGAAACTATTTCAGTGATGCTTAAACTAGTAGCTGCATAACAGCAACAGGTGCAGCATATCACCAACCAGCCAACTCATCCAACATTGTTCAAGCGAAAAAAGTGCCACTAAAACACAACAAATTAAATTTTAAATTAATAATCTCATTGTGCAAAGATTAACAATAAAAACCACTATTTTGTATTAAGTGTAGGAAAAAACAGCCCTGTGAAAAAATATAAACTCAATCATTTCATTTTTCTCCATTTCTAAATTAATTTCAATTTGTAAGTTAAAACTATTTTTGAACTTTGAAATAATAATTCCTTAAGAGATTAATTCCTTTTCCAGCCTTGATCTTTCTCATTTCTCGATTCATCAAACTCAATGTTTACAAATAATCCCTTGCTTAGTTTGTGTGTAATTATAAATTCAAGGTGGTAATTAATTATTTTAATTAATTATAATTTTAATCTAAGGTCTTGGTTGAGGTGAAAATGCGAGTGTCACGAGCGGGATTCGAACCCACGACCTTCCGATCAATGTTGACCGAACCAGTCTGACACCATCTCCTCATCTCAACCTACAACCTTTGGAATTTTCCCTCGTTTTGCCATCTTTTTTCCTGACACTTGCTTTTTCTTTCAACCAATTTTTTAGTTTCAAATTGTAATTGATTAAAATAACGCTAACATCTCCTCGTGGCCACTTCAAAAGTAGCTCAGAATCGAATGCTGATTACACATTTGAAAATCGAAAGTATGTAGATTGAGATGAGGAGTTGGTGTCCGAGTGGATCGAAGTCACGATAGTGCTTAGAGCAGCGGCCAAGGTATTGAGCCGAAGGTCGGAGGTTCGAATCCCTCTTGTGACACTATGGATCAGTTAGTACTAATTAATGCTTATATTTAATTAATGTTCATATTTATGAAAGAATATCATTTCAGTTTGCCTTTTCAAATCAAATAGACGGTGCTTTTTTTTTTTTTTTTTTTTTTTTTTTTTTTTTCTTTTTTCTTTTTTTTAAATAATGCCGTGCGATTGAAATCGAGCGACGGCGAATTAATTGTAATTACTCCTTGTGTAAACAAAAACCTTTTCTCGTCATTTCTCCATTTTTAATCCAGTTGTATTCTCTTTAACCATGGAAAAACATCATCTTGAACCAGAAGTTAACAATATTAATGTGAGAATGAGTGATCGAGGTCACCGGCAAGAGGATATCGCAGGGGCGCTTCTCAGAGCGTGGTCCCCTGGGCTTTAGCCCGATTCCGAGAAACTTTAAGTGCCAATAGGCTACCTGGTAGTGGATCTCAGCTCATTACGATGCTAAGGGAGAACAGAAGTATTGTCATTGCTGCAAGACGACCTGCAGCAACAGCCCGCCACCAGCAACTTAGGAGACTATGGTGCAGTGAGCGCCTAGGAAAGAACACCAATTGGAATGCTGTTATGTTTACTGATGAGTCGCGTTTCTGTCTGTACAGTGATAGCAGGCGCCGAAGAGTCTACCGAGAACAGAAGTTGCGTACAATGCCCCAGTTCATGCTCCTTTCAGTATATTTGGCGGAGTAATGGTCTGGCTGAGATTTACTCTGAATGTCGAACTGGACTCCATATTGTTGATGGCAACCTCACCGCAGTCCGTTATGACCAAGAAATTACCGAGAAATACATCCTTCATACCTCATTGAAGCAGAGTTGTTCTTCAGGAATTTCTCATCTGCCCCTTCCCCTATGGTCTCCAGACATCAATCCCATTAAGTAATGTGGGATGCGTTGGAGAGAAGGCTTTTCGATCACCATCCGCAGCCAGTTGACCTGAAACAACTGAGTGCAGCGTTGCAACATCTATGGAGTGAAATTCCTTATGAAATTAGCGACAACCTTATTAACAGTATGTCTAACAGGTGCACAGACGTTTTAGCTAACAGAGGACAGTATATACGGTATTAATTGTCTAAAAAGAAATTATTGTGCCCAATAAACAAAATTATGGAATTAAAACCTTTTATTTTGTTATTTTTCAAAATCTATTAATTTAATTTTCCTTCAGTAAAAAACTAATTTCTTATAAATTTTAATGCAATTTATAATAAAAATAAAATAAAAATGCTGGGGAAAGTAAACACTACAAAATTGGCAATGTCCCAATTCATTTTTGAGCAGTTTAAAAGGTTAGGAGAAGTTGACACGAATTTTTGTCTCGAGTTTATCTTTTTTCATAGGAACTTTAAGTTATATGCGTAATTTTCTTTAAAACATTTCAAACAAAATGCTGGCATACTTTAAAATAAAAGATTTCACATTTCGGCCACAGATGGCCAGTTGTTTATTTATATATTCTTTTTTTTTGTACAGTAGTGACTACTTGTATACGGTGTGATTATTTATAAACTACCCCTATTTTATTTGTTTTGTTTGAAAATAATAATAATAAAACATTGGACTGGTCTTTACATAATTTTTACGTAGGATCTCAGTCTGAAGACAAAATTTGTTTTCAACGTACGATATGTTCCCTTGGCTCAGCCACATTTTTTTTCCAATGGGAAGGTATCATTTTCAATACGGAATTAAATTCTACGACTTTTTAAAGAAAATTTTACTTCGGGCACTTTCCTGGTACAGTTTGTCGTTTAAGAGTTAAGTTAAAAAAAAGTTCAAATTTTATTGATCTCAATCGTCATTCATTTACCTCCTCGTAACTTTAAGTTACTTGCTAATGTCCAATTCAATTACCTACTAGTAACTTTATTAAGTTAACCTTGTAAATTAAAATTTCAAAATGGTCACCACCGATCTCCATACAGCAACATCCTATTATGGGATTCGAAGTTCAGATATATCCCAATATCGGCAATTGTGATGAGTCAGTTCTTTGGTTTGTGAGTAAAAATTGAATAATTTCTCTGAGTTGATTGATTGTAAGGAATTAATTATTAATTAATTTATTCCATAATGATTAAGGAGATAATTTGTTTTGGTTCAGTTCGTCTTCAACTAATGTAAAAGAGAAGTGCTAATTTGATTTTTTCAAATGTTAATTGTTTCCGTTGAAAAAAAAAGTATATATATAATAATATGCCGAGGTAGTCTATACCTTTGGATGATAGGTTAGAATTAATTTATCTTCATGGAGCCAACCATTTTTTTTCACAAAGCTGAACGCGTTTTTAACACCAATCATCCGGATCGTCCCGTTGTTAGGTGTCATATCAGGCAACTAGTCAACAAATTTGAACAAACCGGAACAGTCATTGATAAAAAGAGAACAGGTACGTTTTTACAACAAAAATTCACAAAAAGCAACTTCTGACTTAATTTTTAAACACGGTAGATATTAATTACTGACGTCTTTTCTATTAAAGGAAGTAATAGACTTTCAGAAGAGGTTGTACAGGACGTTCTTTTCGACTTCGTCGAAACTTTTACCCAATTATGCCAGCAAATCAGTAGGCATTTCGAGAGTTCGGTCCTAATAAATATTCGGAAATAATAAAATATATGAAAAATAAATTTCATTCTACAAAATTCAACTGCACCAAGAACTTAATGAAGATGACGTAGATAGACTCCTTCAAATTTGTGAAATTTTGGACAACCGAATTACAGTTGAACTTTGCCTGATAAGGAGAATTTGTTTTAGTGATGAGGCAACTTATTTTAAAGAAATGATGAATTGAATATTGGGATAATTCTAATCCTCGAGGAATGAGGGAATCGCACACCCAATACATGAAAAACTAAACGATTCGGCAGGGTCTTAGGGAACCATATCGTAGGATCTTTATTCATCGATGGCAATTTAAGAGGAGAAAATTACCTTGACCTCCTTGAAGAAATTATTTGCCGTTGACGCTACGGTGGAAGAAATTGGGGAAGAATTTGAGGAAGGAGATATTATTTTCAACCAAGTTGGAGCGCAACCTCACTGCACAAGAAAGATTTTTTACATGTCCGTTTCTCTTCAAAATAGATAGGAAAACTAGTGGTCAGCGAGGTGCGAAATGAAATCCACAATAGGATTTTGCTTTGCATGGAGATCGGTGGTGCCCATTTTTGAAATTTAATTTACTAGGATTAATTTAATAAAGTTATTAGAAGGTAATTGAATTAGTCATTAGTAATTAACTTAAAGTTACGAGGAGGTAAATGAATGACGATTGAGATTTGAATTTGAACTTTTTTTGAACCTTAGTAACTTCTTAAACGACAAACTATACAAGAAAAATGCTCGAAGTAAAATCTCAAAAAAGGACGTAGAATTTAATTCCGTGTTCAAAATGTTACTTTCCCATTTGAAAAAAAAAAAGAAATGCAGAGCCCTGGGGACGTACCGCACGTTGAAGAAAATGTTTGACTTCAGATTCTCATTCTATGTAAAAAAAAAATTATGTAAAGACCAGCCCTATTTTTTTAAATTATTTCCAAACAAAAGAAATAAAAGGCGGGTGTTTATAAAAAAAATTATAATAGATAGACAAAATGACTTATTTACAACATGTAAATGAACATAGTTAATAGTCTTAAATGCAATGGTTTGTCCCTTTCATGGAGTTATCCTCCCCCCTCTCAAAAAATGGATGTATTTTTTTATTATTGTTTTAATTGTTATTATTGTTTTATTATTATCATCCTCTATACTGGTATATTATTATTTGTCGTGTTTATATATTGATATCATCCTATAAGGCCAACGATTGTATTATATTTTCGGTAATTTAAACGACTGATGATAGATATATTGCACAAGTCTGCCCCAATTTTACGACATTACATTAATGATGTTAAAAATGCCCTTACGAGAGATTACATTTGAATTGTAAATTTAAGCATACTTGAGGTGTTAGGTTCTATATTCTGATCGGAAGACTAATATATGCCAAAAAAAGTGGGCTGGAAGCCAAGGAAGGATATTATTCTTTTTACAGGTCTTGAAATGCAAATGACCAATTGTACGACACATGGACACTGGACTAAAAATAAAACTGTACTTAAATCTTTCTTGAATTTAAAAAGAATAGCATTAACTTTTAAGCATTAAAATTAAACCCTTACACACACACACACCTTATACGCACGATAAGATTTAAAAAAAACCGGACACTTGTGTTTATTTTCCATAATAACTAGGTAGAAAGATTACATAATATTTGTATTAAAACATAAACGTAACATTAATAACTTGTTGTTTACCTTTATAGAGTGTTATCAATCCTTTGCAAATTGTTTTCTTTGATGAAACAATAAATTTGAATAATTTTTTTTCCTTAAAGCATGGTTTTAAATCGAGATCTCGCACGGGCAATTGCTATGGCAAACGATGGACGTAGGCGTCCGTTACGTAGCCCATGTCCTGGGTGTGATGCGCTCTACCATCCTCGATGGTCTACACCTGTTTAGAGCTACCGGAAGTCTCGATCGAAGAGAAGGTAGTGGTTGACTGCGATGTATAACCGCTAGAGATGATCGTTTACTGCTCTTACTGCACTACGGAACTATCATTTAACGGCTTCCTTGAGAGGTAGTCAATTCCAAACAGTCACAAATAGCGAGCTCTAAAACATTCATCAGAAGGCTTCGTGAGAATAGCCTAGTCTCTAGACGTCCCGCATCAGGTTCTCGATTATTGGAGAGGCATTGAGTAGACAGGCAACTGTTCGCAAATCAGCATTTCACTTGGACAGTCAAACAATGTGGGCCGTTCTCTTCACAGATGAGTGCAGTGGATCAGATGACCAGGACGTATGGAGAACTCTGCTTCATGTGCCATGCGTGAGTCGAAGCCTTTTCAGAGTAAGTTATGATATGGGGTGGAATCAACGTCCATGCCCGTACCAAACTGATTATCATACAGAACGGATATTCGACTGCACTAGGGTACATTGAGGAAGTTCTTCTGGGAGCTGTGGTACCATTCCATTATTGGGGACAACTTAGTGTTAATGCTCGACCGCATGTTGCTCGAGTTGTCGCCCCATTCTTTGGAGGATGTAGGGATTACCACAATGCATTGGCCAGCACTTTTTTCTGACATGAAGCTTTAGACCATTTCTGGGACGTGATAAAGAGACGGGTTGGACATCGTTCGCCACCTCGAACAAGAGTTGAACAGCTTCCAATCACTCTTGTCGAAGAACGGTATTTTGCTGCACAAGATGAAATCCAATCGTTTATTTACTCGATGCTTAGGAGACTCTTTAGGGCCCTCCGCGATGCCAGAGGAGGTAATGCACGTTGTTAAGAGCAAAGTTAGGAAATAAATTGTTAGTTTAATTTTAATGTGTCACTACTTGATTTTACGGTGTTTTACGGCGATAACAATAAAAATACATATAGTTTGAAATACAACAAAATATGAGTGTCCGGTTTATCTATTTATTTTGCTTTTGAGTGTATTGGCAGGTACTTTTAAATTAATCTTTTCACAATTTCATCATTAATACCAAGTCTGTTTATAAATCTGTTAGAAATTCAACCATGAAAATAATAATTTTTATACAATATGAACTTGTAACGATGAACTAGATTATCGACCTGCTGGATACAAGAAGTCTTTTCAGAGGATCTTCGGAAGAGGTCAAAACAGAGAAAACTTCCTTACGGTTTTCGCCGAGCTTTCGACAGTTTTATACTGTCATCTTCAGGGCCTGTTTTATTATCATATAAACAAACAATTAANATTATTAGATTTCCTCCGGTCTTCGGGAACTTGTAGTTTGGAAGTTTTTCTTTTCCGATCATTTTGGTCTTTTTATCGCTGTTTTGGTCTGACAGATCCATTTTGGCATTTGGCCAGCCATGGCAGCTGGTGTGTGTATTATTTTCACTTTGCTTTTCCATTCCTCTATCACAATTTTTCTCTCTCCCCCTCTTCCACCCTCTCATTTTCCTACCTATCCCACCTGTACCTCTCCATCTTCCCCCTCCATATCTCTCTCCTCTACCTTTCCATCTTCCCATCCATATTTCTCTCCTCTACCTCTCCTTCTTCCTCCTCTATATCTCCCTCATCTACCTCTCCATCTTTCCCCTCCATATCTCTCTCCTCTACCTTTCCATCTTCCCCCTTCATATCTCCCTCCTCTACATCTTCAACTTCCCATCCATATTTCTCTCCTCTATCTCTCCATCTTCCTCCTCCATATCTCCCTCATCTACCTCTCCATCTTTCCCTCCATATCTCTCCCTTCTACCTTTCCATCTTCCTCCTCCATATCTCCCTCCTCTACATCTCCATCTTCCCCTCCATATCTCTCTCTCCTCACCTTTCCCTCTTCCCCCTTCATATCTCCCTCCTCTACTCCATCTTCCTCCTCCATATCTTCTTCCTCTACCTCTCTATCTTCCCCTCCATATCTCCCTCCTCTACATCTCCATCTTCCCCTCCATATCTCTCTCTCCTCACCTTTCCCTCTTCCCCCTTCATATCTCCCTCCTCTACCTCTCCATCTTCCTCCTCCATATCTTCTTCCTCTACCTCTCTATCTTCCCCTCCGTATTTCTTTCCTCTGCCTCTCCTTCTTCCTACTCCATAACTCCCTCCTCTACCTTCCATCTTTGCGCATTTTTATTTATTTATTGCACCTTAATGAAATTCTCTTTAGTTAATAAAAAATTACATAACAGCCGAACCACTCATATGGTTGGCACAAAAATGAATGGTTATAAATAGCATTATAATAAATATTCCTTTCATTTTTGATTCGACCACATGAGGGGTTAGGGTTAATATTTTTTACCATTAATATTATAAAACCGTCCAAATACGCAAATCACGAAGGATAAAGGGAAATTTAATTAAAATAATATGTCAAATCTATCTTGATATTTTAATCTTTATACTTTACAACTTACAAAATATTTAAAAAATTGGCGAACATTTGGTTTGATTTATATAATAAGATCGGGCCCTCTACATCCATATACAATATATGGAAATTCAAATTTTTACCTTTGTAATAATGTAGCTGTTCATTGCCATACAAGGCTACTTATTGCCATTTATCCTTTCAATGTTATTTACGAAATTTAAATACTATTGTTAAACTTTCAACTCAATAGTATTTTAGTCATTACATTGCAATTAAACTGTGTAAACAAATTGTTTGATTAATCGATTTTGTTTTCTATTTTCAGACCAACAAAATATTGCAAAGATGCATAGACCTGGTGTCCTTGGATTATAGCCATGTAGTATGTATTGTTTTATGTATGTTATATGAAATAGGCTTTAAGTTGAATCTGTTAGTTCTGTACTTGTAGCCGATTTTCATGCTTCTACCATATTTATCGTAAGGAGCTTGCATGATTTCATTGTGTAATTTAATGTTGTTCCACAATGATGGATGCATTAATAAACCTGAATTTACCTTAGTTGGCTATGCATTCATCATGAAACAAATTACAGTAGTAATAAAACCCTTTTTTTAATGAATTGTGTGCATTTCATATTTTTATGTTGACCATCATGTGGATTATTATTAACTTGTATATTTCTGATATATGTAAAATGTTGAAAGTTAATTTTTAAGTTTAGAGAAAGATTTTTTTACTGATTACTGATTTTTTACAATTTTACTGATAAAATTAGATTTCAAGTCATAACAATGCTTGAGTCTTCATTCAGAAGATACAATTTAAAAAACCATTGACCTGTAAAGTTAGGATTTTTATTATCACATGTGTTTTTAATATAAAACTTATTTTATTGCTATAATCAGTTTTTACACATTTACATTTAGTTAATTAAAAATTACATTAATTAAATATTATATCCCGGTCTCATAAATGTTGGATTTGAAAACATTGAAATGGCCAATAAAAGAAATCAAAAAGAAAACCAGCACATTTGGAAAGAATTATATGTGATTCTGACTCAAAACAATGGGGCATTATTTAGAAATACAAAATTGTACTCATTAAATTTTTTTCTTATATATAGTGTAAAAAGAATTCTAAATCTCACCATATTTTGCTTATATCATAACATTTAGTTTATTACGAATCATACGTGTAAATTATTACTTACACTTTACATTATTTTGTTGAGCATTGATTAAAAACAGTTTAGTGTGGACATAACTGTAGGTTATTATCAATGTGAACCACATATAAAGGCAGATTCAATTAATATTTGTTGCATTCTGTAAATGAGTATTCCAGAAACATTTTGTCTATTTAAACAGATAAGATGGTGTACACGTGTTCTAGGAATAATTTCAACTGGCACGTGTACAGAGACCAATTTGATGTAACACCTCCCTCCTCAAGTTAAAGTTTCCATGAAGGTCTAAATCAACTACAGTTTACAAATTATAAAAAATTCATCAACGTCTCAGATATGTTTTGTAACCTTCTTTATATTATAATGATTAACATAATTACCCATAATTACATTTGTCTATATTACATTTACTGAGCATCTGGATTACATTTTTTGAATTGTTTGCTATAAATATTTCTTTTTGTTTCAAGAAAGTTATTGTACATTTGTTACGCTTGCTTCTTAATTCAACAAGAATGATTTGGAATCAATTCTGAATCCTGATTATTAGTAAACCGAGCCCCAGAGGAGTTGATAGGTCCTGAATACAAACCGATCAGATGCCTTTTTATAATACAAATTAATCCAAGTTTCAAAACAGTTTATTAACTACACAAAATTGAATTTCCTTTGTAAATTAAATTAAATTAAAAAAAAAAAAAACTACAAATCCTTTGCCAGACCATTTGGAACAAGGATGGGTATACACTATTTAATTATAGTCAATCCGCTGTGCACTATTGCTTTTTCAGCCTTCTTTTTTTAGGATCTCGCACAAGATGGGCTGGATTCTCTTTTTTACCCTAATAGAGGGGATCTTTTTTGTTTATCAGTGCGAACTAAATTGAAATGTGACAAAATTTCTCACCCTTAAAGGCCTGGGAAAAACAAGTTTGTTTACAAGATTCTCCCCACCGTACATTTGACCCCGGATAGCTAATGTTGGTCGAAGTCTAACTGCTGAATGGGCTCCTCTGAAGACATGCAAGTTCAAACACTTTCTGGATGGATGGTGTATCTCCGTGGGTTTCACAAGATGAGACCTCATGATATTGTGGACCCAGAACTATTAAGGTCTGGTCATAAATCCCAAAAGTCCAAAATTCTGTGCCTGGTTCTTCTTTTTTTATTGATAAATGCCATGAATCATTTTCTGCTATGGTGCGAGGTAGTTCGGGAACACGCATCTTTCCTGGTCGAACAGCACAAAGGATGTAGCTGAAGTCCAATCTTATTTTTCAATTGTAGTTCAGTTCGTTAGGACTGAATTCTTGCTATCATTTGGAATGGTATGTCGTCAGTTCATCGAGGTAGTAGTTTTGATGAAAAGGATAGCATTTGGAGGCATGAGAGGCAGACCTGGTATAAACATTGGTTTATAGAAGAAGTTTAAGAAAAACTCCTGTTTTGTAGCTTCTGATATTAGCTTTTATTATTTTGAATTTGAATTGTCAACTTTGTTACTTTCTTGTTTGTTTTTTGTTTATTTTTGTTATCATTATCATTTTTATTTTTTATTAATTTTTTACAATTCTAAAATTAAAATAAACCTTTTTTATAACTATCAATATGAAATGAACTTTTAAGAGCGTTATTTTGTACTTACTTTCATAAATGAAAATGAAATAGATTTTTTTAAAAACATAACTTATAAACCTACTGGAATCAAAATGAGCGTAACCTTTTGATGGATTTATTTATTTTTTATACCTATTTTGAAATTACAAACCTAATAAAACTTTAAAGAGACTGTTTTGTGTAATTGCAATAAACATTTAAGGATTAAAATATAGCTTAATTTACAATAAGTTGACTATATACTTTAAGTTGCGTTATGTGTGCCTTTCTTATTTTTTGGGGTTCATTTATATCTTCTAACACAAAACAGACCTGATTTATTATGTTTTTGACTAAAAACAGGCCTTGGTATTTATTTTGTAATTTCAGGTTAATATTTTGCGCCTTTTTTGAGATGTGATACGCTTTTAACGTGACCCAATTACTGACTGTAAATTTACCCTTAACTTCCTGTTTTTGTAATAAAATAAAGTTGTAATAAAATGCATGTCTCGTGTGCCCTTTTTAATTTTTTATAGCTCATTCCCAAATTCTTTTAGTTTGTTTATCTTTTCATCTTTGGTCTCAACTTTCCCATTTTTTTATAAAGGCGTATTTAAATTACGATCCAAAAATGTTTCTGCAGGAGATAGGTAGATTCATTAATACAATTGTTTAGATATGTGGTAATCCAGACTACATAATCATCCCAAGAATCAAGGTTAATCGAGCAGTTCACCCGTTTGGCATTTTTTAAATTAGCAACATATCTTTCATCATCACATACGTGATGCCAAATTTGAACAAAAAGTTTCGGTAGTGAGTAGAACGAAAATTTATCTGATATAATAAATCGAGTGATTCCATGCTGGGCGAAATAAAATTCCGTAAAACTTACAAAACGGTTTCTGGCCCAAACAAATTTGGCAAAACTATCGACTGCCGCGAAAAAATAAGAATTTCCCTTTAAACAAATGTTAAACAAATAAATGTTTGAAAATAACAAAATTACCCTTGTCTACCTACCAGGGCACACAGCACAGAGGGGCAACGAAGAGGCCGCTAAATTGGCCAAGGGAAGTTCACTGAGGACACTTATTGGCCCTGAATCCTTTAATGACTTACCAAACTGTCAAAAACGCGGATCATTAGACAATGGATTAAAAATAAGCCCTCCTCTCAATGGGAATATAGCCTAAGACAGGTATGCGAAAAATTGGACCAAAGGACCAACGCAGAAACTAACAGCAGAACTACTAAATCCAGTACGTGCCAGGACTAGAATACTAGTTGGACTGCTAACTGGACACTGCAGACTCCGGAGGCATATATATGTATATACTCGGAGTGGCAAAAACAGCCTGTGCAGATATAGAAGAAGAAATAGCGGAACACGTCCTCTTTTCTGGGAAAGGAAAAGCCAGGCCTGAAGGACACACACGGGAGCTCTTGAAAAAGCTTTGGGGTCTGGTAAAAACCTCAAGAATAACCAGCAGCTCCAGATTTAAAAAATGGAGAAGCACTGGTCCGGTGCACAGGTCGTAAAGAGGTCGACTCCTATATAATCTAATGGTTTTTGGTAATTGCAAAGGTCGACATAGATTTTCTCCAATGAGCTGAGTTTCTATTTGGGACTGCATAAATACTCTGCGCATAATTTACAACGTTGTCCTTTTTAAAACAAGGGTAGATGAAATGCTTAATAATTTTTTGTAAGGTCTTCGTAATCCCCTACATGTCCTCCGAATACGCATGTTATTGGGTCAAAGTCCATTACGCGCGTTAATTGTATCGTTTGGAACTGGTTCTCCCTTTAAAGTTGGAAGTAGAGGAAATTTCATCTTTATGCTGCCATTCTATTAAACTTTCGAACAGTTCCGGAAACCGAATCAGATTTGTTAAACAATAGCCTATGTGTTACTCAAGTTTTCTTTCAAAATTTTCAGTAATAATTTGTCGTTGAATAGATGCTCGTGTGAAAAGATCTGCTACTACATTTTTATCACCTTTAATATGAATTATATGGAAATCATATCCTTTCAAAAAATTAATCCCTGTTGACAATTTGCCTTTAACTTCCCCGGGTCTATTGAAAAGCCATTTTTGTGACTTAGATAACTGGAAAAATATTCTACATTATAAGCTATGCTTAGACATTCTTTTTCAATTGTTGAGTCGTTAAGTTGGTGCTTGTTATAAGTCTTAAAAAGAAAATAATCGGGATAATTATGTTCATTTTCTTCTTGAAAAAGAATTCCAGATATTGCAATATCAGATGCGTCAGCAAACTCTGTTCCAGGTCCGAAGTCCGGTATCTTCAAAATAGGTTCCGCACTTAGTTTCTTTATTTTTTTTAAAAGGCTATTTTATGACATTTGCGCCATACTCAATCTGTTATATAATATATTGCTTAAAATAATTAATAGAACCTAGATATGATACTATTTGTCTAAGGCTTCTTTGGCCTTACCATTTTACATAACACTTCTACTCGTTCTGAGTTTATACGAATTCTATTGAATGAAATAATATGCCCCATAAAATTTAATTGTTTAGTCCCGACTCGCATTTTTTTGCGGTTTGCTGCGAGTCCATTTTTACTTAAATGATCAAATACAATTTGTAAATGTACAATATGACTTTCCCAATCCGTTGAGAATATTATCGGGTCATCAATATAAAACCAAACAAAATCAAGATCATGGAATAATTCAGTCATTAAAATGCTAATTGCTTGGGAACCAATATTCAAACCAAAGGTACGCGATTGAATTGACATATTTTTTCACCATCGGTGAATGCGGTAAGAAATCGGGATTCTGGCGATAACTGCAATTGATGAAACGATTTTGTTAGATCCAGAGCTTGAATAATAATTATTAACCCGTTAACTTGTCCATGGCAGATTTAAGAGGAGGAAATGGGTACACAAAATATTTTAATTTTTTATTTATTTCCCTAAAATCTATGACAAGGCGATATTTACTTTTTTGCCCCTTTTTAACTAGAAAACACGGGCTGCAATAATTTGAAACTTTTTCGAAAATTATGTTTTGATTGTTTAAGTCTTCTGTTATTTCTTGGGCCGCCTTTTTTGAGCCGGGTTTAAAAAATATGGACGACAACGTGCTGGACTAGAATCTATTAATTTTAATCGAATTTGAAAAGCGCTGGCTTTTCCTTTTTTGGTCTCTTAATACATCTGGGAATTTCGATTGTAACTGTTCTTACAAATTTTGATACGATTGGTTCAAACAGTTCATATTGGTAACGATATTTGGAGGATATACAAAATTTTTATTGAAACCAAAGAAGTACTTATTTTGCTTCGGATATAAAATCAAATCGCTATGTTTCTGAAAGTCATTGTTGATAAAAGTCGCCATAGTATTTGTTTATTGCCTAAAAATGCCCACTGCAATTATTTTTATGTCGGGGTTCAAAATGTCTTGGTTCTTTCTGGTCTGATTTGAAATCGTCATTCATGTTATTTACGTAATGACTGGGGTATCTTCTCTCTTTAAAAAAATTTAGTTTTTTTTGCGAAGTCTCGATTCATATTCCAACGACAACAACGGGTCTGTCGTATCCGCGGACGTATTTTCTTTCTCGGTTTCGATCAGTCGGTTCGGGAAAGTTCCGTTTCCAGTCAAGATCAGTTTCCAGGCCAAACGACACGAATTTTCGGTATCCTTTTCTTGGTTGATTGGATGAATCTAATTCACTGTCCAAAGGAAAAAATTACATTATAATTAAAAATTTAAAATTATTGTGGAGTAGCCGCTCTATTGGTCAGAATCAATTCTATTTTACTTACTTCCTGGAATTTATATTTTAAATTTAGTGCCCAAATAAACTCAGATATTTTATGATCGAATCGCTCAGAAATAACATGAAATTTTTCTATTTCCATTGTATCCCATAATATTTTTGTATACTGAATTTGTTTGACGAAGTACTCCCGGATAATTCCTTTTTTTATTGTGCACGGAGTAAGTACTTTGTTTTTAATTTGAGGATTTGTTGTGGCGACACATGAAACCTAAATAACGAATCACCCAAAGATCTAAAGTTTATATATTTTTTTGTGCGCCATTATACAGTGAGGAGTTTACGGATCTATGGCTATTTTCTACTAAAACAAAAAGAATTTCCTAAGTTAACGATTTACAATGAGTAAAAAGAGGATACATACACACAAGAAATTGAAAATAGATCTGGGATCATTTAATATTAATGGCAGTAATTTATTTATACTACTTAAGAGGGAATGATGTAGCTTGGCTGCCCGGATAAATTTTTCCTCCAATTTTCTACTTGTCGCTGGTTTTCTTCTTCGTATTCGGAGCTTACACCTTTAGGAATAAATTGGCCATCGATAACGGTAGTTAATCGGTATTAATCCCGAGTTGTTGGTTATATGTCTTATGTCGGTATCTGAGGATGTGGCAACTCGTGACGAAGATCGCGACGGTCCTGGAACGGTTCAAGTTATAATTAATTTTTCGTGGGCGTTTAATGTTTGAAATGTGTATTTTCCTCCTTGTGTTAAAATGTGTAGGTCTTAATTTAGCAGTTTTTAGTGTTTTGTTGATTTCTTCAATTTTTTCATGTTTGTATATTGGTTTTGTTTTTGTTTATTGTGTATATAGACCTTTTCCAATATGTCGGGTGGTTCCTCCCTATTAGCAGTTATCCGTTCCAGTGTCTTTTCTTTATTTTTATTTGTGGAGTCTTGGGTTTTGATGTACAACAGTTTGGTTCTTTCCGTATGGTTTTCAATGTAATTGTTTATTAGCCGGTTTTCTGTTTCCATTTCAAAAGGGGTGTGCTCTGCTTCTAAGTAGCCATATAAGTAGCCATCGTGGGTTCGAATCCCGCTCGTGCCATTGACTTTTTATCTCAACTAAAAACCTTAAATAATTGTAATATATTAATTGGTCAAGCGGTCCACGAAATTAGTGAAGTTAATTTTAAGGTAGTTATATCTTCTAATAGTCAAGTTTCAAAAGTATTGATGAAGGTTTGTATGGAGTTTTTCAAATTTGGCCAATAGTGTAGGTTATTTCTTCTACTAAATGTTTCGTCCAGACCTCTATGATTTCTTTTGCTTACGTGATAATTTTCAATTGTTTTTTATAACCTCATATTTCTTCAACTATTTCGATTAATATTTTGTGTATTTAGTAAAGTCTATTTCAGAATGTTTAAATTTTTTCAAAACTACTGTAAGCGAGCGACTGCCGAACCATCTCTATATTCGCTTGTTTTTTTTCTTAGAAATAAAAGAGTAGTTGGCGTAAGATACTTATTCCTAGTAGGGTTCTAGAATTCAATAAATCAGAGAGTGTATTATCAACATTTATTTTAACACACTTCCGTTTGTTATGTACACAACCACAACAAAATCTTAATTAATTTTACAAGTCAGCCACAACTCTAAATTTGGACGAGTCTCTAAGGTGGTGTAAAATGCCTTAACCCTCATAGTTTTTTCTCAATCCGTGTTAAGAAACACTAAAAAATCTTAACTTTTGAACGGATTAAGATAAAACCATGTGGTTTACAGCATTCTACTCCATTTTAGATGTACTGTCCCAGATATATATATATATATTTTTTTTTAAACAACGGGCTGACCACCCTGCATATAAAGGTGTCAGGCTACTCATGCTACTAACTTTCACACCTCCAGAGTGCGAAAAAAGTTACAACTAAGTTAAAGTTAAAACTTTTTTTTTTGCAACCTTCTCGGTTTTCGTTATAAATCTATTCGTAGCTGTTGAACTATATTTTTGTGGGGGAAAAAATCTTTCAAAAATCACGTTTAGATAATTTTATATTATAACACGTACTACCTTTTCAATTATCCTTTTCGCGTTAAGGTAACTGAATTACGTCAGTTCTCTCTCTCTCTCACGCTCTCTCTCACACACTCTCTCTCCCTCCCTCACTTCCCTCTCCCCCTACCTCCCCTCTTTCTCATCCTCCCCTCTCCCCTTTTCCTCACACTTCCCTTCACTCTCTCGCTCCTTCCCTCTCACTCCCTCCTCTCCGTCCGTCATTCCCATCTCCCCTTCTAACTTCCTCATTCCCTTCTCACCCTCCCACTCCCTCAACCCCTCTTCCACATCCTCCACTCGTTCATTCCTCCACTCCACTCTCTCTCCCTCCCTCCCTCATTTCTCCCCTCCCACCCTCTTCTCTCTTCCTCCCTCCCTCCCTCTCTCTCTCTCTCTCTCCTTCTGTCTACTCTCCATCCCTCCCCTCCTGTCATCTCTCTCCTCCCCTCCCCTCTCCTCGCTCTCTCCCTCTCCTCGTTCTATCCATCTCTCTCATCTCTCCTCTCTCTCTCATCTCTCCTCTTTCTCTCATCTCTCCCCTCTCTCTCATCTCTCCTCTCCCTCGCTCTCTCCATCTCTCCTCTTTCTCTCATCTCTCCCCTCTCTCTCATCTCTCCTCTCTCCCCTCTCTCTCATCTCTCCTCTCCCTCGCTCTCTCCATCTCTCTTCTCTTTCATCTCTCTCCTCTCTCATCTCTCTCCTCTCTCTCCTCTCTCATTTCTCTCTAATCTCATCTCTCTCTCCCTCTATCCTCTCTTCTCTCTCTCTCTTTCTCCATGGAAGACATAAATCCATATTTTCTATATTAACTTAAAACAAGACATAAAAACAAGGTAAATAAATAAAAAATGCGCTGATGTGATAAGGGTCTGTAAGTTGGACTAATCAATGTTTTATATTGTATGAATATTTTAATTGGATTTGTTTATTATTATTATCATCGATGCAAGCAATTGGAGAATATTAAGTGCCGCTATTATGTCTTTATTAAAGAATTTTTTGTTATTGTTTTAGGAAATTAATAATACAAATGGGGAATTAAGTGCCCATTATCCCAGCAAAATTATTATTATGGAATATGAAAAAGCTAATGAAAATAATGAGCCAGAGTTAACCAACAGATCTTCGTCTAAAAAAGTGAAAAGTAATGGGACTATTTATGAAAGCGTGTACGACGCTGCAAAGCTCAAAGAATTATTTGGAAAAGCACGGTTTGCAAGGTGTCGAGCAAGGTTCCCTCTTCCTGTCATCCTCTATAAAGGAAAGAATATATGTAGGTATGTAAACCATTCTTTTGTGATATCATGTCAGAATTTACATAATACTGGATAATTTTAGAATCATTAAACAATATATAATTTTTTACTGTTGCTTTCATATTTACAGGGGTTGTTCGTATAAGCATTTATTTATGAACATACATTTCGGTGAAATTTATCAGTTAAAGACTTTATAAAATGTATAACTAAGTTTGTAACTTTACTAGGTCGGCTACACTCTCTGGAGGTCCTGAAATATATGGTCGTTCTGGCTTGGACTACCTATTTTGTAGTGAAGATACAGGGCAAGAAGATTCCAACGAATCTGAGGAAGAAGGAAAATATTCAAAAGATTGGCAACTCTGTGATCGAGTGAGAAATCAAGATATCAAACTTCTTAAAACCCTGAATGTTGGGGCAATAATTGATTTTATGGTGGAGAAAAAGAAAGTCAAGTTTGGTGTCAAGTAAGTGCAAAGCATGTTGTTTCGCATACAGGTTTGCTTAAATCTTTCATAATCAGTAGTAAGGCAGAGAATAAATTTCAGCGTTTTACTAGAACTTTTAAATATTTTGATGGAATGCCAAACCAGAGAACTCCATTTTTACTGATAATTTTTTTTAAAATTTTGATAGATAAGACAGGTTTACAATTAAAAAATGTAAATTTTTTATTGATTCATAAAGTATACAGTTCAGGGTTATGTATGGAATAGCATATCTGGGTAAATTGCCTCCAGGCTTTGCTGGCACATATGCATTTTTTTTAATCTTCCAGACTGTTTTGCATAAATGTGGTTGAATTATATTTTTTTTTTTTTGGGGGGGGGGGGTTACGATTTCGTATCACCCATGCCTCAGAGAAATGAGTACACCCGTCAAGCCCAGCTGGAGGGAAAACCAAGCCCCGGAACCCAACCCGACAGCCCGCAGCCAGCAAGAGTGGAAGGGGAGAGAAATCCCTTTACTTCTTTATCTTCTTTTATCTTTTAGCTTTAGGGTTTTCAGTGTTCACCCCATTGGAGGACGTGGATAAAAACCAAACATCTAGATATCATGGAAAAGTCCACGTCCTCGAGGTAACCGGGGCTAACACGCCCTATTTCAAGACTTTCAAGACAAGGGTGATCGTGGGCTTGTTGACATAAACCTTAGAGTTCATAAAAACCCCAAAGAGAAAGCACGTCAGTGTTAAATCATATAATCTGGGCGGCCAATTCTGATCACCAAAACGGAATAGTACACGAACAGGAATAGACTCTGTAGTAATTGATGTTTCATGGACTGTATGGCATGTGGCACTGTCTTTTTGAAACTACGAATTTCCACATCCATATATTGCAATTTAGCCACAAAAAACTGAATATTATATCACGGTATTAAGCACCATTGACAGTTATTGCCTGACCGCCTGATTTTCTCATTTTCATTTTTCTTTCATAAGCACTCCATTTTTTAATAACCATGAACTGTCAGCTGTCACCCTGTCTTTTTTTCCGTTGGCAACACTTTACAGTACAAATGGGGCAAAATTCAAATCTTGCCTAAATTCTGAGGCACCCTCCGATGATATTTCTAATATCAATATTGTATGGGAGTTGTGTAAATAATTTTTAATAAATGATTAATGTTTCAAATGTTGATATATACACCTTTACATTTTTGTTTATCAATAACCTGAACTTTACTCTGTGTGTATGTTTGTTTGTGTTTGTGTGTGTAAGCTGTTGTGTACATGGTTAGTTAAATTTAATTTCAAGAATTATTACAGGTGTAGCATGCCCCACCTGTATTAATGAATAAGAAATTTAATTGTTCTGGTTAATCTGTCATTGTGTTATGTTTAATATGTATTAAGATTAGAGATTTAAAGGTAACCTTTCTCTTGGTATTGACATGTAAATTAAGATTGTCTTCCAACTTCTTAGACTTTTCTGGCGGTTGTATACTTTTCGCAGGCTTTGGGTTATCATGAATGTTAATAAAAAATGTCTTGTAACAAATTCATTAAAAAAGTTTTTATTTGTTTGTCATAGGAAATACTAATGAGTTGTATTATTCACTTTTGAGTAAGTTATTTGCACAGTAAGTTTGTTGATGGCTGGATGTTCCCTAAAACTGCATATTTGTGAACTATTGTAAAAATGATTTAATATTTTGGGATTTTTAATTCTCTTAAAAACAATTTCATAGACTGATAGGTAATCGAAGTTTTTCTTAATGATGGATGCAGTAGTGCTGGCTAGTGATTTTGTTTTTTCATTTTTTTAGCGTGTTTATAATTGATTTACAACATACTGGAAGAAAGAAGAACGAATTACTATTAAAAGGTAAGATTAGTTTTTACATTTTACCTTTCACTGATTATGTGATTCATATTATAATTTTTTTTGCAATTTCAGATGGCCACAAACTATCAGTAGTTAAAGACACTTGAAGATTCAGTGTATAATATATTCCCTCTTGATTATTCCATTACAGAGACAAATGGATTCTTTTTGCTGTAGCACTTGCTATATATAAAAGAAAATGCAAAAAAAAGCTAGGGTGACCAAGATTTTAGAGACATTACACAAAATGGATGGACAACAGTTAAATTGAGAAGAGCGAATAAAATGTGCAATTCTTCATTAGAATGAAATCCATAGGTTAAACATGAAAATATGTAAACCATAGAAAAGAGAGGATATCTTTGACAGTGGAAAAATAGAAGTAATAACACAGAGGAACTGTTATTCTCAAATCACAAATCTAAAAAAAGTCCTGCTAGGAAAAATGGAAAATTCTGAAGAAAAGAGGGGAAAAAAGATGCATGCAGAGCCACTTCAGCACCTGAACAAAATTTATATACAGCACAAAAAGAAATGAACACACTTAGGAGAAAAAAAACCTTTATATTTCTTTTGGTTGCAGTATTTATTTTTTAGAATAACACAATGTAATAATTTGCCCAGAATTGTCTTTAACTGTCTTATAATTTGTAAGATTGTAAATTACAAAATAATTATCGCACATACTGTTTCTAAATTATTTTTATTGCATGTACCCATATCTTATAATAACGGTAATTAGTGTGACATGATGCTATTAAATGTTTGTGTATTTTTCTTGCGCAATAAACCATTAAAAAGAAAAGAAAAGACGTTCTTTTATCATATAGTTCCTTCTCTTTGATTTCAAACAACAACAAAAAACACTTCAAAATTGTGTACTCAACAATTTGTATAAATGTAATCATGTGGAGCAAGTCTGTTTTTGGCCTGCGTTTCTTCTTCTGTGCATAAATTGTCATCCAATGCTAGTTATTTTATTTTTAGAGTTGTTATGTTTTTACTAGCTTCTCTGTCATTGTAACCTGTCAGTAGATATTAGCTTGCGTCTTTTGGCTCTTAAAATAATGGTATAATAGTGTTAAGAGTCCAAGTTGTTTGGAAAATATGAAAAGCTCTAATTTTAATCTTTTGTCAAATCCAAATATATATATCGTCTACATAGGACTCTCAAGACCTATCTAGTATGGCTTTCTAATAAAATGTCTCATTTCTCAAATTCTTCGTTCTTCAGTTCACCTGTCTGTATATGGTAAAAAATTGTCCATATGATCCCCTTAGGGATGGAATTTCAAAAAATCCTTTCTTAGTGCAATTTTGGTACCTAGTTGGGTATCTCATGCAGTGGTCCTGTGGATACCCCTTTATAACCAGCCTTATTATGCTTAGTAGGAATAAAGCTGTCTATTTGTTAAAATAATCTTTTGATAATTTAAACAATTATTTGTTTGTTTCTGTGCACACATGCTGATTCACTACACAATCATCTGATAAAAAATCATACAATTTCAAATAAAATTGCCCTAAGATGTTCTGTTTTTATTATTATTATATCTTTTTGGGTATTAGATCAAATTTAATTTAAAACAATAGAATTTTTTTATCCGAAGCGAATTCATCTTTGAAATTTTCCATTTAGAAAGTAATTTATTATTTCTCAAACTCTAGTTGTTATATCTTCAACATACAGTTTAAATCCAATTATAACATTATTTTATATTAAATTTGGACTTATAAATGCACATATGAGTTGAAATATTTGTTCTGTTCATATAAGAAGCTTTCATAGTAAGCATTGTTCTTACCTTAAGTAATACCAAAAGCAAGACAAATAATTGCTTCCGTAAATGTTGTTTTGTCCACCATTATCAATATTTAGTGTAGTTAAATGCTTTTAGTGTGTAACAATTATAAAACTGAATAATGTTTGTTTTGTAGTGTGACTTCATCGGAAAAAGTTGACAAGGAGAATAGATACTCAGATTTTACCATCATCTCTCTGCCTTACCCTGGCTGTGAATTTTTCAAGGAGTACCGCAATAATGATTATGTTGCTGGTGGTCTGGTATTTAATTGGGCACAGACGCACGTTGATGCGTCCATAGGAATTCCTGATGACAATATTTCTTCACAGTTAAAAATCGATTGGGAAAATTACAAGGTTGGTAATTGAAAATATAAACCAATTAAAGTTTCTATAGTATATTTTGTATTTGTACAAATATATATAAAACTCATATCAGTGTTAACATTAAACAATTTTTTTCATGAGTACTTAAGGATTAAAATTTTTATTTTATAGCTTTGGGATTTAGTTACGCTGACTCAAAACTATATGCAGCTTGTTATACGATATCTCGTTGACCAACCACAAGGAGTACTGATACATTGCATTAGTGGTTGGGATCGAACACCTTTATTTGTCTCTTTACTGAGGCTTTCATTATGGGCCGATGGTGCCATTCATCAGACCCTAACAGCAAAACAGATTTTGTATTTCACTATTGCCTACGACTGGATGTTCTTTGGCCACAATCTTGTTGATCGCATAAGTAAAGGAGAAGATATATTTTTTTTCTGCTTTTATTTTCTGAAGCATATGATGGGTGACGAATTTAGTGTTGTCAGGTAAATGTTTAAGATACTTATTTATACTGAACATGTAGATGTAAAAAAATAATCTGGGTGATTAAGTATGTACTGCCTAATTCAACATTTGTTTTTCTGAAACGTAATCCTCGCAAAAAGTTAAGAAATGCCAAAATGCCCCCCCCCCAAAAAAAAAAAAAAAATTTAATTTTGCAAATGTTCAGGGATTTGTATTTAAAACTCATTCGCTCAATATTGCGAAGATAAGATGGTGGTGTTATAGAAATAGTGCAAACAAACAATTAAATTACAGTGCAGTAAAAATAAAGTATTTTCATTTCAAAGCGTCTATTTTCAATTCTAAAAAATAAAATATATTAATCGAAAATATCAATATGAAAACTGATTCGCTGGTAACTGAGAAAGAAAAAGCACATATTGCATTATTATTGTGTATACACCTGTAATATAGGTAATGCTGGTTGATGTAATTTTTTTAAAGTATAGTGCTGTCTCTCTAATCTGCACTAATTGCTGTAGGGGGTAATTGGGTTACAGGTGGTGTTAAAAAAATTGATACATATAAAGAAAGAAACAATATAAACACAACATTTTATGTGTGGTGATTAGTGACCGTTCGATATTTATCGATATTTATTTAGAAATCATAAGATGCGGTCTGGTGTGATTTAGGTTTCAGAAAAAGCCATGAATCCTTCCACCACAAAAACATAAAGATATACAAACAGATCCTCCATAACAATCTCTACCCTAAACACATAATTAACAGAATAATCAACAATTACAACTCAACACTAACACCATCCATTATTACTAATAATACTACATTAAATCTATCAAATACAAACAAACCAGCATACATTTCCATACCATTTATCCAAGGCCTATCACACAAATTAAACACATATCTCTCGTCCGATAACTTCAAAATAGCTTTCAAAAATTATAAAACAATTCAAACACTTTTTTCCAAAATTAAAGATCCCACACCAATAACAAATAAATCTGACGTAATCTACAAGATCAATTGTTTAAACTGTCCGGCAACTTACATCGGTCTTACATCCCAATATCTGGACAAGAGAGTAAAGCAACATATCTATGATTGCAAAAAACTCAAGCAAAATCCTATGGCACTCGCTACCCACCATCTTGAACACCAACACAATTTCGACTTCAAAAATCCAGAAGTATTACACACAGAACAAAACAAACACAAATGTAACTTTTTAGGAATGGTTTACATCAACAATGATAAACACAGCATCAATTACAGAACAGACGCATGTAAACTCAGTCGTAGCTACGCCAATATCATTAATCAAATTCAATACAGATAACATACCTATAACATCACATTACATTCCACACATCAAATATTTTTCACATAGTCTACTTTCCCAACAATTTAGCTTTCCTTTTCCTATTTATCCCTTTCTCTATAATCCTGAAAGGATAATCTGGCCAAACCATTACCAACACATTTTTTCCCTTCATCGGCTCTTTTCACCTAAAAAAAACGGACACCTTATACAAAAATGTCTTTTCTATACCGACATCCTTCTCCACCCTTTCCAAATCCAATTTATATAAACACAAAATAGCAAAATCTCACTGGCACTCTCGACACGACACGCAAGAATGGCACAATTACACAGACGACAAACACTTTGAGTGAGTAGAAATACTTTTATTGAATATATAAAATATATTTTGCATTGTATAAATTCAATTTTTCACATCCTAAATGTATTTGTTAAGTGTAACCAATGTTTGTAAATCCCAGGCCCTGAAGATCTCAATAAAGATTGAATCGATTGGCACGATAAAGAAAATGTTTTTCTGAAACCTACATCACACCAGACCGCATCTCACGATAAATAAACAACATTTTATTATTATTATTATTCCATAATAAAAAAAACTTTAATATTTAATGTTTAAACATAAAAAAGAAAAATTTCTACATTTATGCGATCAAAATAACCACTGGTACAGTGAGCCTTGTTCTACAAACAAACATAAGTCCATATCATTTGAACGAAAAATGTTGACTAATAATATTGATGAATTAATGTTATTAAGGATTTTAAAAAAAGCATAGAATAAAATTTAAATAATTTCCAAAACATTAAATGGACACTCTGATTTAGTGCAATTAACTCCATTCATTCTCTCTTTCACTCACCTCTCTTTTTTTCTTCCTCATTCACTCTACCTCCCCCTCTCCAAATAATTTTTCATTTTTTCCTCTAAAATTCTGACTTCTTGATTTTTTTATTGCTGGAATATTCAGATTACCGAAGTTCAGATTTGGAAGAGAGCAGTGTAGTGTGGTTTGCTATTGTTTTGCACATTAACTTTTAAATATGTTGGCTATATTGCTTTAATCTTACCTATTTTAATTTTATGTTTATTTTGTAATTGTAGGTTTAATAATACAAACCTTACAATGAATTGTATAGTACTTATAGTATTTTTAATAGGTACCTAATACACAGAGCATAAACTTGGGTTTTTTAAAGCAAAAATTTAACCCAATATCTATTTAATATATTATAATAATATTTATTAAGTGATTAAGAATAGAGTCTTGAAGACAGGTACAAAAAGGGAAGGAAATAACTAACACATGTTAGGGCATCACTTTAAAGCTAAAAGTGCTTGTGATGTATTCATCTCACAAAGTCATTAGGACGTATCTGTGTGTGACACATCCGTAGTCGACATGTTAATTTTTTTTAATATTCATTATTTTCCATAGTTATACAACTATGTATAACTATAGTAATAATATTAACTATGGTAAATAATATGAAACGTTCATTTACATATACCACCATTTACATTGTATGATGATGTGACATGTTCACATTGTTAATAGTGTTAAGAATTTTGTATGATGCTGTTTTGATTTCTTCTTTTTGTCAGGGTGTTAACATATTTTTTTTTCTTTTTTTATGTATATTTATTATACTTTTTTTGTTTTAACTTTTAGTAGAACAAACAGTAAACAGAGGAACAACACTGTTCTAAGAACTGATTCAGACCTGCAACTAGAAGGGATTCTGTTAGATGCAGAAGCCCCAGTTTGTTCACAAGGTTCAAACATGAGTTTAAATTCATCATGGAGTTCAATAAGTAGTAAAAGTCAAGAAACACCTCCAGTGTTCTTCCAAGCTGAAGATCAATGGTATATCAATTATTCACGAAAATTGGATCTTTATTTAATAATATATTTTTTCTTCCTAACTATTTCAGTAGTATCAACAGCTGTGATAGTATTAGTTGTAAGCAAGCAGGGAAACAAGACTTAAATCAAGGGAACTGTTTTCTCGCCGTTCCTCCACAAGCCAATCAAACTAGCAGTAATAATGCAAATGGGGTAGAAAATGGTTTGGGAGAAAAGCAGTATCCTCCAGTACCTGAGGTTAAAAATAATAGCGAAACACTATCGGCAGACCCAAATAGCAATACCAGTAAGATTAGTGATATAAATATTGGAAAGATAAATCCAACAAGGACTAGTCCTGTAGCTGTACCTACTCGCCCTCTGAACAATGTGAGACAGCGAAGTGAATCCACTAGCTCATTAAGTACTGGGAGGTAGGTGTGTCAACAAAATACAAGCAATTAAAAAAAAAATTCAGGTTAGTGTGTATTGTTTTGATCATTGTTGAAATTTAACCAATGAACATTGAAACAGATATTTTCAATAAACCAAGTAAATTGTTTGCAATATCATCTTAATGTTTATAAGTTGTTATCGATAAATGTCAAGTTCACAATTAACACATTCTATTTTCTTAATGTTTACATTTTTTTACAGACAGGATTTTATTTGTGTATCTCTTTTATATTATTATCTTTTTCTCTCTCTCTCACACATATACTTTTTGTCAACAAGTACCAATCCTTTCTAAAGACAAATTTATTTATTTAGATAAATTATTCATTTAGCAAATGATTAAATTATTAAGATTAGCCAATATTGGCCATTGTAGAGATCTTAGTAAGACAGTGGTTGTGGAAAATTTTTTAACTTTTTTTTTGCTTCTTAGTTGAATAGAATGTGTGTTTGAATGAAACAATATTGTACAAAAGATTAAGTTTTTAGTTGAGATAAAAGANCGATCCACTCGGACACCAACTTCCCATCTCAATCGCACCTTTTGAATTTTCCCTCCTTTTTGCCATTTTTCAAATGTCGTGTAATCGGATTGGATTCTCGACAACAAATGAAATGGCCACGGAAAGCTTTAGTGAAGTATACTTCATTTTCAATCATAAATTCACTAATTTCGTGGTCCACTTGACCAATTAATATATTACAATTAATTAAGGCTTTTAGTTGAGATAAAAAAGTTGGGAAAATTCAAAAGGTGGGGTTCAGATGGGAAGTTAGTGTACGAGTGGATCGAGGTCACGATAGCTCAAGTGGTAGAGCAGCGGCGTATCTAGCCGAAGATTGTGGGTTCGAATCCCGCTCGTGCCACTGACTCTTTTATCTCAACTAAAAACCTTAATTAATTGTAATATATTATTGGTCAAGTAGACCATGAAATTAGTGAATTGTACAAAAGTGTTCTGTTGGATTTATAACCAATTTGTACTCAGGTTCACTTGAAGTCCCCCTACTAATCTAAGTCATGCCACTTACATTAAATTCCAGGACTCTCACTCTCATTCTCCTCTTTCTCTCTCGCTGTCTTGCTCCATCCCTCCCTCCCACCACTATGCACGAACTAATAACACACACACACACTAGCCTACTGAAGAAATGGATAAAATTGAAAATACTATGGAATAATAAAGAAATGTGTACATATATCTTTATTCAAGTGGTGTAAAAATATTCTTGCTTCCATTCGCAAGACTAGTTAGGCCAATAATTGTTAGTGCAATAGGAGGTTAATATTTTTGTCAAAGTATGTTAACAACAGACCCAGATACCTACTGTTGTGTTCAAAAACAATTCTTATTGGATGGTATGCTTACTTGCTGTCTATAGGGCTGCCTTTCTTTTTTTTGCGACCTTTTTTTTGCAGGCTTTGATCTAAAGTAGGTGTCAGTGTGCTAACTGTGTGGCCTATTCTTATTCCCCCTTTTGTAGCTTTTATTTTATGTTAATGCTTTATAAAAACCTGGAAAATGATTAGTTGAGTGCAAATTAAAAACATTTTAGCATTATATAAATCCATTTATTAACATCTGTAGTAAATGCTATTTAAATACATTTAAATATTTTTAAGCTTACATTTTTCGTGTTTTTGTTTTTAGTTGGCAATTTATTTCTGGAACAGGCAGCCTACGTGGTTCTGGCTCCAATTCAACATGTGGATCTCATCTTAGTTCTAATAACTCCAGAACTCCTTTGTAAGCATTTGTAATTTTTAAAAACTTGATTTATTTTTAAATATTTATGCATATTTCTGTTCTATGTTCACAATTGAAAATGTTTTTCATTGTTGAGTTTTCGTAGTTGACATTGCTTTTATATGAAGCACTTGTTTTCATATTCTAAATGTTCATAAATTTCCCAGAAGTGATAGCCAATTGCTCGGAGACTCAACTACGACAGTTATTGAGGATGAGTGCTTTATGTATGGCAGAAATACCGATGCTGCATTGTTGTAAGTTACTATTTCTCATTTTCCCGGTGACCGGAATGTTTTTCTTCTGTTTTCAATATTACTGAGATTTTTCCCTATTTTCTGGCAGAATGTTCAGAATTGCCTTAGGTTATATGTTTTTGGCTTTTCAACACCAAAATTTAATGATTTGTGTGGCATATTGGAAAAGAGGCATATAAAAATATTGCGGGTTTGCATTGTCTTTTTTCCCTTAATGTGTCAAGTCCATTGTGTATACGGCTATAGAAAGGGATAAATAATGACAAATTAAATAATAAAAAACATGATAAAATAATATCAAGTATTTTCATAAAAATATGTATAATATATTGAATTACAATAAAATCACAATTATATACAAATATGACAATTACACTATGGTTTGTTTTTCTGATTTGGTAATGTATTTGTGGTATAATACATTATACCAAGGTTGTAGGCAAAGTCCTGGCTCTTCAGGACGTTTGGGGCTGTAGTAACAACTGTCAGTCCTAATTTTTTTTTACCTTTACTGCACTGATGGCTTTTTTTAAAATTTTTTATTCATATGATACAATTGCCCGAGAAGTGAAGAAAAGCCCACTGTAGTACTTATATTTCCAAATTAATAAGGATATGCAAAAGGATTCCTAAAAAGTAAAAAATAATATAAAACCTTTTTAAACAATAAATTAAATAAAATCTGGGAAACAGAATATGAACTCTCAAGTGCTTGGCAGAAATTTAAGACACAAATGGTTTTATATTTAGAAGCTAAAAAACATGCACTAACCTTCACACACTAAAGCATTTATGGATTGGTTTTTCTTGATCATAAAGAAAAAATTGGGTACTTTAATAAGTGGTAAATGTTTTATGTATACTTTGCAAAAAAATTTCTATTTCAACATTTAATGTTTTGTGAGACTTCTTGTTGACACCCGCAACGTTACGATCCAGTAATTTGGTAATTTCCTACTATCCTGGCCTGCCTATCCCTGTGATTCAATCTGTCTGATGCTTTTCAGTATTTTGCCATCTTTAGCCATTATTTTATAAGCCAAACTCACGCTGACTGCAGTTGTTGACTGCGTGTTGACATCCCCTTTTTTTTCTCGGTGCAGGCATCGACTTGGCTGTTGTTATTTTAAACCAGATAATCAATTCAGAAGCAGTATCGATACAGGTCTGACAGTCAACATGTAAAAGATGGCAAAATTGTGAAATACTTTTGGTAGACCAAACAGCAAGGATAGGTAGACCTGAATGGCAGGTATAACCAAACTACTTAATATTTTATTTGCAATCAGGTCTTGCAATTGCATTGAGTCATTAATCGTTAATTTACTTGTAATTATTGTATTCAGTAAATTTGTTGATTTGTATTCCAGCTCTAAACTGAGTAGTTTTTTCTCTCCCTAATATTTTTCAGCATATCAGCAGAACACCCCTGATTTTAAAAAATATATTTAGCCTAACTAATTGTCTCTTAATTTAAAGGAAACAAAACAAAATTGATAATAAACCATTATTTTTGTTGTATGTCCGCCAACCGTTATGTGCCACTGGATATTGCTGAGTTTTCACAGTACTTAAGCAAAATTGCATAGTCAATAGTTGGAACTCAATTCGATGTTTTGTTAAATTGTTGGTGTTTATACATGGATGCTTTATGGAATTAAACAGCTACCCAAACGTTTATAAAAAAAATCAATAAGATTTATTTGTTATTATAAAAACAGGGATGGGCATAGATTTTTTAAAAATAATACTTAATTACTGTTAATAAATAATTCTTTCTAAGTAAAATATAAAAGATATTCCCTTTTTGAAACTTATCAGGGAAATTTAGGGCCATTTACATTTGATAATTGAATATTATAATGAGGGATTGTTTAAGAAAATATACTTCTAAAGGGAAATTCAAAAAGTGGCTAAGGTTTTCTAAATTTGACAACCTGTAGACAGTCATAGTTAACAAATGATTCTTGAATGTTTTAGGAGACGAGAACGCCTGAGAAAAATCCGTTCCTTGTTCTACAAGAGTTATTGCTGTACAGTAGGAATCAAGCTCAAAGACGGTTCTAGAGTCCGGGGCCTTGGAAATCTGTTGGGGAACTTTGCAGAAAGAGTCGGCATTATCTCCACCCAAAGGACATCAGTCTGACACTTACCTTGTTTTAGACAACCTCAAACTTTAAAATTGTAAAAGACAATTGAGTAGATAATAATAATTGAATGAACTATTAATTATAAGAGTAATAATGAAAATTTTATTTTTTATACGTTGCATGTATTTACTGCAGTGATATGCGAGTGCTTTATTTAAAGATAGTCTTCTTTATTCTTATTCCTCGAGTATGGTTTTAGTAGTTTTGTATAAAAATAAACATTTAAAAATTCTTTAAATTGTTAAATTTTTAATTTAGGATGAAGTTATTTAAAGCAATAAGAGATAATCAAAATTATTGAACGAAAGGTTTTTCATCTTGGAAAATATATCTGGAACTTTTTTTTTTAAAATTCAGTGGTTTAAAAACATTAAGTAATGAAAATTAAGTTTTAAAAATGAAAAATGCCCAAAATTTAACAGTAAACAATGTATTCACACCAATGTGACATGTCGGCTCTGTAAAAAAATTATGTTTTATGTTAAAATGTATAGTTAAAATGTGTAGTACATATCCTAAAGGGAGGCCTATGTAAGACATTGCAAATAACAAGGCAAAAAAGGCTCACAAACATTCAGAATCCTAGTCAAAAAAAACTCAGAATATTTTCATATCTTCGAAATGTTAATATACATGATAATGAGTGAATGCCTAACACTGCCAATATAGCCAATATGTATTTATAACTAAGATGTGTATATGTAACATGTGTATGAGTGTGCATGTTTATATATGTAATGTATACATGTACACACATTCACATATACATGCGTTAGTGTTATATTTTTTGTAATTATTGGTAATATAAATCTTTAAATTTACAATATTTATTTGCACAAAATGTTAAGTGCATCAATAACTTTTATTTTAAATACATGTACTATATGTGTGGATGTACTTATATCAGTGTAGATTAATGTTGAATGTGTGTAACAGTGTTATTTTTTAGTATTTGAGTGAACATTTTTAAGTGAAGTGTGCCCATCTTTATCAGTTAACTGTAGAAGACTTAAGAACTAAAAAAAATTCATAAAACCCATCCTAAATTTGTTGACTAAGGGTCCAATACCTATATGTGGTGCTTTGCAAAATTTAAATCATCTGGTGGGCCACTGTTAATCATTTTAATATTGTTGACTGGAATACTTATGACTGATTAAATTGTAAAAGCATAGTGTTCATAATGTTGAACTTGACACATTAATTATTAACAACATATATACGTAATTTCCAACAACTTACACTTAAATAATTTGTTTCATTCTAAATTCGTGGGACATCAAAAAAGCTGTTTATCGTAACATTTAATTTGGAAAACAACAGAAAAGGTACTATGTTACAACACATGTTAGTTGTGTTTTTAAATGAACAAAAATTGATTACGCTTTCATAGTGATAATTACCTCATTTTAACTTCTACAATAAAAAGCTTAAATTAAAAGATCTTTAACCTTGTAATGCCCGAGACAAGGTGGATGGATTATTTCGCTACTGAAATTTTGGTAGAATATGGCCAATTTGATTACACCTTTTGTTTTGTAGTACTTAATTACACGAGTCAACATCAATGTGTTTGTAATTATTTCAACAATGTTTTGTAAAATGTTTTCAAACTTTTGATAAAGGCTGTTTATTATTAGTGAAGTAACGGTCGGTTACTACATTGAACAGCTTACTTTCAAGAGCCAAGGTGTAACCATAGTTTTTCTTCATCATATTATACACTTCAGCACAAGTTGTGAGAAAAAGAAGAATTATGTGTTTCAATGGGTTAATCAAATAAGGATAACTTAAGCAAAGTGGTGGTGGTGGTGGTGGGCCACTTGAATTGTTCAAATATGTCATACTCAATATGTAGCCTTTATAATGTTGTTGAGTTTTCAATAAATTTGCTGGTTTTGTTTAACTACTTTTCAACTTACTTACTTTAAAAGATTTTTTGATACATTCAAAAAGCGTTAATTATGCAGAAATGTTATTCATTTTAGCTAATTATATATGAATTTCTAGCAAAACTTCAAAATCTAACCAACAAATATGGACAACTCAGCATATACACATCATTCAGTTTTGAATCCATTTTCTCAGCTATTGAATTGTAGGTAAATTAACAAGCCGATTGATTAATTGTATTAAATGTTATGTTTATACCATGTTTTCAAATTGGTTATTTATATATTATTTATTTACTAAAGTTTTTATTAGATCATGTTCAAAAGATATATTTTGTTAAAATTGACATTTGCTTTTTATATTACTTCTCCACTAATGAGGTATAATGGTTTTTGTACGCAGCTTGTCATCCCTGTCTGCCTATTCTCATTGAACGCCACATAACAATGTTTCATAATATAAAGGTTTTGTTAAGTTTCCTTCAGTTTCATAATATTGCTGACAGTTAATTAAAAAATTTCACAAAGTAAGATTTATTGTAATATGTATTCTAAGAGAAATTGAAATAACATAGATTAGTGGGGAGGTCCGGAGTACCCGTGCTTACTATAGATCCAAAAACAACTGGAAGCAAACTACTAACCACTTGAAATAACAAATAATTCACTCTAAATATAATATAATAATAACATAGATTAGTGGATGCTTTATCCAATTGATAGTCTTCCCAAATTGGTCATTTGACACACAAATAAAATGTTACATTTGTGCAATCAATTTCATTTTTGATGCCACATATAAAAGGCAGGTTTTATTATTCTTTAAGAAACAATTTCCATTGTATAATAAAGGAAAAGTTAACATATCTTATTACCACCTGTAATATATTATTAAAACACTTAAATTAATAATTCACCAAACATGCCCTATCTTATTAAATGACACACTGTAATTTTATGTAATATTTTTCATTTATACTGACCAACAATTTAAAATTTTTTTTTTTCTGAAAAGTTATTTACTTTTTATTAAAATGCTGTCCTGCTAAGAAGAAATGCCAGATCTCTGTATTTGATAGTTTTGACGAATTGAGCTTTGAAATTTTTCTTGCTGAATGGCCTCAGTTAAGTTGACGTATGTTTCAAAAGTTTTGGCCTAAGACTCTTAACTTCTCTTTTTTTAAATAATCCTTAAAGCTTTTTTTATTATAATTTATAACTTATTTATTGATTTGCTCTTATTGTGTGTTCTTTGAATAAAAAAATGTTGTGTTAAATTTAACTGGCAATGATTTCTGATAATTATTTACGTAAAAGAACAAAACTGAAAAATTGTTTTTTTACAAACATATGTTTTTTTATTATAATTTCTCGCAATGCAATAGTAAATTAATGCATAATGGGTCATATGTTTAAATTAATACTACTGAATTTCCATTTCCTTTGTTCAGTACGATGCATCTTCCAACTAACTGATCCGTTTTGTGCATGAAACAAGTTTTGGTGGAAAATAACATAAGTGGCATATGTATTAATTTTATCTAGTAATACAAGCACTTTCTGTTAAGAACGGTAAAATTTCGGAAATACGGTTTTTTGGCTAGTATTTTCTCCAAAACTTTTTAAGCTATAGACAATACTTCGATATTTTAAGCTGAAATTTTTAATATATCTGGACCGATTTACATTTATTTCATCATATTTTTTTAATAGGAAATGTACCTAAAAATACAATGGTAAAAAAAGTAAAAAAAATTGGAGGTTGGTATTTCTTCTTATTAGGACAGGATAAGTACAGATATTTATTAATTACTAAACGTGCTTTAATTTATTCTATTAAATCTTATTTATGTGTACCTTCAATTTCATTGTTGTTAATATAGTTAAAAATGATTTGTGATTTAAAGTGCAACATAGCACATTGAATATGGAGGAAGTGAATTCAACCAGTTATGGAGATTTTCTTTATTAAAAGTGTGTCACACAGTCCAATGTTGCAATTTCCTCCACATTAATGTGTTCAAATCTATGTTATGACCAGTTTTGATACATTTTTATCATGATAAACATGAACAATATAATGACACCACTAGCATCGCCACTTTTTATTTTATGAATCTTATTTTTAATGATTATAATATCACCATTATCTTTCATTGAAGCTGTGTAAATGAATACTGTACAGTCGTGAGAGTCTCTTAATTTTATTATTTATTTATTTTTTTATCTAGTATCATAGTCATTATTACAGTGGTAAAAATATTGAACATAACTTCCCAACAATTGTACTTAATATTATATACACTCCATTATAGGTTTAATTTTCCTGTAAAATTTAATCGGATGAGCCAAAGTTGTTTATATTTATTACTAAGTTAAATAGATTGTTTTAAAATATGTAATATTTAATACCATTTAAATATTTTATTTTGTTGGTGGGTTGTAATTTCAATGATAATAATAGTGATATAATACAAGTCCTAACAAATTGAATATAATTTTCTGATCTATTATAAATATCAAATTGTTTAAATATTGGTTTCATATGTGAAAATTTGAATGCATACTGAAATCAATTTCTTATATCTCCATTTCAAGTTGTGCCTTTAAACAGCTCAAAACACTAATGTAGAGAAAACACTGTTTATCTATTAACTTGTGTAAACAAATTGCAAAACAAAGTTGAAGAAGTATATTAAAGATTTGCAAGTATTTGTGTTATTAGTTACTACTTTCTAAGTTAACTACTTATAAGTATACTTCTAAGTTATCTAACTTTATTAAATAAATTGAGATAAACAATATTTGGTGAGAATAATATTAGACGCAGAATCACTTAAGCTGTAGTTGAAAGCTGTCCATGGTGGGTTTAATTGTAATATTTTCATAAATTTTTTAATGGATTGATTTCGGTATGAAGTGTATTTTATTGTTATATAGTGTTGTATTATACAAATAATTTGCAAAGATGCTGGCATAAAGAGCTAATACCAGAGGTTAAGGTCCTTACAGTTGACAGTTATTTGTGGTTAAGTGATTAGAAATGGCAATGTAGAACTGATCTATGTTGTCATATAAGTAAGATGTAATTTTAGGAGGGAGTTATATGCTGTGACCTTTGAGAGCTACTGTATCCCCCATTTTATACCTATAACATACCAGTCATAGTTTGTTAAGAGATTTGATTAGTAGGCCCAGTTTCAGGGTTGAATTTCTTCCACGTTATGTTGTATGTCCCAAAACATTTCCTCTTGCAGGCAATTATGGCACCACAGTTTGTTAGCAGGTGGGTTGGTATCTCCTCTGTTTCTTTTCTGTATGTGCTGTGTTGGATTATACCAATCTTCAGATGCCCATTCAGTTTGCAGTGTCCTGTTAAGAATCCTGTCAGGGTTCAAAGTTTTTCCTGCTTCCTTTGATACATTCTGGTGTTTCTTTCCTTCCCAAACTTGCTAGCAGGTTCTTGGATTATTTATGGGCATTGGGTGAATTCCACTGTTTCCTCATTTTCATTTTGTCTAAGATACTCATAGTGTCGATCCCTATGCCACAGAAAGGTTAGGGACCCTTTAGCAGTATAGCAGCCCCTTCCTCAGAAGAGCACCCACTCTATCATTTCTCTCTAATTGTTCATGTCCTGTCACCATGTTTGAGCTGTTGAGCATGATGTTTAAACTTATCCTTTGATGGCTGCTTGGCTATCTGACATGAAAGTATATTCTTGTTTTTGTAACCTTTGTTCAGTTTGAACTGGATACATGTCTCAATGTCATGGATTTCAGCCTGGAAGATACTGATTTATTCACGCATGGGTTCCGAGAATTTGGTTCAGGGTTAATCCCCAATCTATCTGTTTTACTCAATTTCATGTGAATTTTAGACCATCTTGGATGATGTCACAGTGTTTTTTTTAATTTTCACCTGGCAGTCAGGACTAAATCTGCAAAACCCTGGCATTTTATCCCTTTGAGATCCAGAATCTCAAGCAGTTCTTCAACTTTTAGGCTCCACAGGAGTGAAAGTACTCCCCATGCAGGTGTTCTTTGGTTGTATTAACTTGAATAGTCTTCTATGTTTGTCTAAGCTTTCCTGGTTCTTAACATTTCTCCAATCCATCAAGATATGGTATGATCTGCATGTTTTTTCTCAAGATGCATGAGATACATTATCAAAAGCTCCTTCCATGTCGAGGAATGTGCAGATTGCTATTTATTTGGCTTCCAGTGTCTCCTTCGGTCACTGGTTAGCTGGTACAAGGCAGTTTTTGTTGATTGTCCTGCTCTTTATGCACATTGACAGTAATGAAATGGTTTGTCTGTCAACACTGTTATTCTAATATTGTTATCTATCAGTTATTCTGCTTTGTTTAGTAAAGAAACGTGACTGGTCTGTAGGATTTGGGTAGTGTAACTTTCTTCCCTATCTTTCGTTTAAACACTGCTCTTGCTCTCCTCCATGTCTATGGTATGTAACTTAATGCTAGGCTGCTTCTACATATGTGCACCAGTGTTAGAGTTCTTATTTCTGCTCCTTTTTTGGATGGAAACAGGGATGATGTTTATTTCTGGCAGATAATATGGGCTGAAAGTATTGATTCTCCAAGGATCTTTTTCTCTGTGATATTTTAGCTGCTTTCTTCTAATCTTCTTTTGTTGGTTTATGGGTTCTGACACTTTCCAGGGATAAGTTGTAGGTGCTGACTGAGAAATGTGTGCTTAGAAGTAGCATCGTTTTTTGCTTCTTCTACTTCCATCTACTTTTGTCAGGGCAGTGTTAATATCTACTTTGTCCTTTGCTAGTACTTTTTATACTCTAGCCGTTGTTGATGTTGAGGAAATTTCTCCACCGACCTTTCCAAAGCTTTCTCCCTTTGCTCTGCAAATGGTGTGATTTTATGAGGTAAGAATCCTCTTACACTCTCCCCAGTTGCTTGTTATTTTTGCTCAATAGAAAAAGCTTACCTAGTTTCGGCCCTTACCCCACTCAGTTCCTTATTCCACCGGAGTGGTTCTTG